CATGTTGTGTGTATAATATATATATATATATATAAATATATATATATATATATGTAAAAGACTCGCTCTCTGGCCTGCCGTGTCCCGCGCTGCGAGACCAGATTTGTTTGAAGATCGCGATAATAAGGAGCCCCCCAATTCTTTTTTGACTCTCTTTCCACGTCTTCCTGGCCTGCGTTTGGATTTTTGGGCTTGCCATCGAGCCAAACGACCCAGGTTTGCGAAAATCAAAGGTAGCCCCAGGCTGTAGTTGAAACTTAAATTTTCGGGGCGCAGATCCTCAAAAATACTGCGCAAAGCGTTTCTGCCACTCATGGACAGCGGGGTAGTTTTCACACCAGCGCGGAACCCTTCCATTGATGAAGGCGCCCAACCACTGCGACCTCTCCGCAGCCTTCTGACGCTTGCCGCAGGTCACAGCCTCAAAACTCCTCAAAGTCTCTCCTCACTTTTTTCACCCTTGTCTGCCTCGCCTCCTCTTTCGGCGCTGTCACCTCTCTCGACGCTGGCCACCGCGTGCGAAGCATGTCTGGATCAGGTCCAGCGCTTCTGCGGCCGAGGTCCGCCGCGTTGTACGATGGAATAAAGGCCATAGCAGGTCCTTGCCCCCCAGACCCTTCTTCATGGACGCCGCTGCCAGCGTTCCTGTCCTGGCCTTTGAAGCTTCACCGCACCTGATTCTCCTTTTCTTCAGAGGGCAATTTCTCAAGTTGACCTGCTTCTGGAGGATCGTCAGGCTCGTCCTTCTTCACTACCAACATCCTCCACGCTCGCCTCGCGTAACCTTCTCTTTCTGTTTTTTTCTGGGTTTTCTCTTTATACTTGTTTCTTTCGCGACGTAGTGCCTGACAGGGCCGCTCTTTCTCTTCTTCTCTTCGTCCAGCTTGTCCTTGCTTCTTTCCTTCTCCCCTTCTTCTTCTTCTTCTGAACACTTTGCTCTTCCCTCAAGCGCCCTTCCTCTGCGCCCTCTGCCTTCTCGGGGCCGGAGGCTGACTGTGATGCCCCTCAGCTCCCACCACGCCTTCCCCAACGTGTGCTGGCCCCACCTCCCACCGGGGACAGCGCCCGCTCCCTCTCCCGAAGGTCAAGCAGCCCTCGAAGGAGCCTGACCTTGTCAAGTGCCCCCGCGAAGTAACGATCCTGAACAAGCGGCACAGCTCAAGCTCTCGCTTGAGTGTCCGGCAGAGATCGCACAGGCACACCCTTTGGAGGAGTGCCCTGCGCTCAGTTGCCCTGAAGCCGAAATCTGGCGGGAACATACATGCCCCGTTCGTGTTTAAAGCCTGGGGGGGGTGTTAATTACATCATATGTCAAATCTGCATGTACGAGCTCATGTGAGTGTGTAGAAGTGATTGTGCACACATATTCTTCATGTAGGCATGGACTTGCGCATGCACATCAATATGACACTATGTACCCTCACGTGTGTTTCGAACATGTACCAAAAGTATTAGGGCGCCAACCATTAGTACCAGAAGGAGAACAGGCTATGTTTCTGCTGGCATCGTGGTGCGCCATAGTGTGGGAACAAGTTTGCATAGAGAGGTGGAACCGCTGTAATCCATCAACTGACGATAACTTGTACGTGAAACAGCTGGGTAACCCATTTGTCCGCAATTGAATTGGCTGCGCATGTGCAAACATGTGCGCGGAAGTCGCCACAGTCGCAGGCGTTGTCTTACAATAGGAAAAGCAAGCAAAGCGTCTTGAGCAAACATTCCCAACGCCCTTGCCAAGCAAGTCATTCTCACGTACACCGGCTCCCTCCGTCCAAACCGATCGTTGGCTTCCAAAGAAGCGGCTCACTTCTGTGATCTTCCATGTTTCTTGGGGGAGAAGTGTCCCTGCTCAGAGTAGGTGCAAAACCTGTCAAGCCACTTAGGCTTTGCCGGGACCAATCAGGAACCCATTCCATGCGACGGCCCTCCTCAAATAAGGTGGCTGCGCAGCAAGAACCAGCAAGGAATGGTCAGCCATCTCACTCAGGACGAGCAACTTTAGATGGTTTAGCCTTGTTCAGGGATAGTGCAAGCCCCAAAGACCACTCACTCCTTCCCAGTCCAAATATAACGATACAGAAGTAAAAGCTATCAGCCAATATGTTTTGTCTTACTACACAGGGGCCACGATGCCGCGGGCCACCTCGGACCATATTAAGCAAAATCTCAAACTAGTATGTTCAAGTTGTAGCCAGCAGGGTCCAAGTAGCACCTGTGAATCCCAAACATTCTGGTCGAGAAATGTATCCAGACTTGGAGAAGCTAGTTCTCTGAGTCGCTTGCGCAAAAATATGGACTCTCCTTTCGACAACCCTTCGAATCTGGGTGCCGTGCTCATGATGCAGCCAGGGCTTGCGAGATCCTGCGATTCTGGGCGATGACTTGTCATGTTTCTGGCTGTGTCAGCAAGCCTAAGCACACGCTTGGTCAAATTGCTCCTCCGCATTTTGCCTAGCTTGCGAAAAAGAATGCGTTGTCAAAATACAAAACCATTCTCCACATAGGAAAGGATCAGCTCACCCGCGCGAGCCTGTCAAAATGATCGTGCACCCCCAGCGAGTGTCGGCTTTCTCGCCTGCTGTCCCTCACAATATCAAGCTGTCCTGGCAGCTTGCAGCCGACATCTATGAACATGATGCAGCCACATGACCCCCATGCCCCAAATCATGACATTTGTACATCCGGATCCTTGCCCATTGATTGCTACACTGGTGGACTCCAAAACGAGAACTGAAAAGCCTTGCGGATGGCAGAACTCGATTTCCCAAACCCAAACACCTGGAAACCTCCGTGTAAACTGGTCCCACGACCCGGGTCGATCTTTCGTAGGGGCCCATCCTTTTTGGTTGTTCAGGGGCGGCACTTTTCTTTCTTGGGGTTGACCACTTGACCGCGGGGCACCCACCAAACAAAGTTCTGCGATTTTTCGGCGGGTGGTTCCGAACCGGGGGGTATTCCCGCTTCTTGGTGGCGTTTTTGCAACGGGCAACCAACCGGAAAAAAACCGCCATTTTGGGGGGTTCGACCTTGAAAGAGACACCCAAATTGGCTGTGGCAACCAAAAACATGGTACCAAAATGGCGCCTTGGTAGATGGAACCAAAGACTACCTGCGGTTTGCCCGAGCTCCTTAACTTTGCCATGGGTCGAAATCCCGTACCCCCAGTAAACATCCCAATCCCCACAAAAATAGGTTCTAAAATGGGTGGTGCACCTGCCCCAAAATGGTATCCCATTGGTTTTGACAACCACACCCAAACTAGGTCCTCCAGTAGAGAGATTAAAATAAGTTGGTACCCTTTGTTTCTGTGGTCTATTTTAGTAGGGAAACCCAACAATTTAAAAAAAGAAACGGTAAAAGTTGGCACCTAGCTGGGGGGCCTAGCAAATGCCAAAAAGGGCGCTGAATTCTCACCTCCCACAGCCGACTCCGCTCCTCGGGCTGCCGGAACTGTTCCTGGCATGTCCGAAAACAGCTTCATTCGCTTGACCGAAAAGGGTGAGGTATGGAAACTGGGGCTGGTGGACCTTCAAAAGCGGATGCTGAAAATAGTGAGATCAAAAATCAGAGTCTGAAATTTAGATTCTGGCCCTGGGACGGTTTCGATCACCCTGGGACATGCCGATCACCCTGGGACGGTTTCGAACAGGGACATGCCGCCAAACTGTTCGGAAGGATCCTAGTTACACACTCACGGAAAACCATCTGCTTCCAGAGATCCGCACGCAATGCTGTAGACGACGGTTCCAGGGTTCCTTCTAGAGCCCTCTTGCTAGGAGGGGACGACGCCAGCAAAGGCACATTTCTGGGAAGCAAACCGGTTTAGTGTGACGTGCGACCAAAAGGACAGGTACTTTGGGGAACTGCTCTAAAGAGCAACATGAAAATATGAACCAGTACCGCGCCTCTTCGATAAGCCGGGCAAGCTGCAATGGGCGTGTGCAATGTATTTTCTTGGCTCCTAGTAGCCTAATGATCTGACAGGTCTCCCTGTGCCACGGCAAGCTGAAGAATTTGGAGCGAGTCAGAAGTTTCTTGAGTAGAAACCCTTTGCGTGAAACTCAGTGACAGGGTGCCGGCCGCCCCCAGGGCTGGAAAACAAAGTAACTCAGACAAAGAATGTGTGTTTTCTCAAGGAAGAAACAAAGGTTTACCTGGCCGAAACAAAGCTAGTTTAGGGGCTCGAAGGTTGTGGTGCCAACAAATAGTTTTTTACGGGTGGAAACTAACCTTTTTGGCCTCGTGGGAAGGGGGCGCCCAGAAACAAACCTTTTGAAAGGTTGGTTTCAGCGATGGGAAACTTGATGTTTCCAGGGATGGAAATCACACTTTGTTAGTTTTTTTTCGGTACGTCCAGCCAGACATCTCCAGCATCACACATGACACCCCTAGCATCACCAGCAACAGCACCAAGTGGCTTGGCAGTTGTTCAGCTGCGCAACATTGCATGTAATGGCCGCGTTCTTATTGCGACGGGGACTGTGCTCCGACCAAAACCCAACCCAGAGACCGTCTCGCTTATCGGGTGGAATATCGTTCGCAACGAGCCCTCTCTAACCCCCTTCCCCCCCCCGAAAAGAACAAGTGGGAGGGGAATTTGCTGTTTGGGGAGGAGGGAGGTAATTGTTGGAACAGTACTTGGCTGGTGAACCTGTTATTGACCGGAAAGGGTTATGATTGTTCGAACAATGATGGGGGGGGGAGTAATTGTTCAGGATTGTGGTTGGTGGGGATGCTCGAACAACAACGGGGTGATTGTTGTTGGGGTGGGGACAACTGCGAAAAAGGGGGGGTAGGAGGAGTGCGGATGCCCCAATAACTCTTGAATTTGATCGTTCTGCAGGAAAATGATCGCTTTGCCTTTTTGGTGTTGAAATTTCAGCACAGGTGCTACAAAAACCGTTCGGGCTTGCGAGGCAAACCGAGCCTTGTGTTGCTGACATCGCTTGCTGGGAATCCTTAATTGCGTTATTTTCGCGCAGTAGAATGCATGTTTATGTCTTTTTGCGTCATGTCATGGGCCGTGCCTAGGATTCGGTGTTGGAAATACCGTTCGTAAAGCGTTCCAAACCTGTTCACAACCCCCTCGCAAACGTACAATTTACATAGAACTAAAAATATAGGTTCTAAACGCCGTTCTGGTGCTAAAAAGCCGATCTCGCAAACTTTCGTGAAAAAAGAACATTGTAGGGGGGTCAGGTAGGGTTTATTTGCTTTTCTATCTCTAATATACAAAGGCCCCCCCCCCTGCCCCCCCCTCCCGCTTCTTTAGAAGGCTGTTGTTCGGCTTTGTGACCGTTGCGTGTAATCGCACGCGTTCGCCAGTTAGCGCCCATCCAGGCCGCCCTCGTGTCGATCCGATTCGCCTCCGCTCCGCCTCCGCTCCGCCTTCAGCTCCGCTCCGGCTCAGCTCTGACTTTGGTCTGGCTCCGGTCCGGCGATGCTCCGGCTCTCATCTACTATCTACTAAGCTCCGCTTCAGATCAGCTCCGGCACTCATCTGCATACCGGCTGCATCAAGACGCAGACAGAAGCGCGTGCCACATGCACAGGAAAGACGAAGAAAGGCGTCACAGTTGGACAGGAATCATGCACGGACAATGGCACACCGCATATCGGTCGCATGCGGAGCCAGTGGCCGTGGCTGCGGCGGAGCCGGAAAGGTGGCGGAGCCACTCGCTGTGGCGGAGCCGGAGACGCGCCCGTGGCCGGCACGGGACATGTTTCGAAACAAACAATTCCCTGGACCAAAACAAAGGTTTAGAAACAAACGTGTCGGCGGACACAACAAACCTTCCTCTGAAACTTGAGCCTGCGTGCAATGAAACAAACTCGCAGCCCGAGTTGACGAAAGGAGTGTTTTTACCTTCTACCAGTGAGTTTCCTTTCAGAGTTTCCCAGAAAACAAACAAACTAAACTCTGCGATGAAAAACATATTTTCCAACTTTTCAAAGTAGCCATTCTAGGGTTTTCGAGAAGTTTCCCATGGCAAAACAAACGTTCACAGCAAGAATGCGTGTTCGAGACAGAAACAAACCTTTCGAACGGAAAACGTGTGTGTTCCTCCATTGGAAACCAACGTTTCCGCACATGCGACAGAAGAATATAAGCATGAGTTCAGAAGGAACACTTGTTTTGCCAAAAAAAACAAGGGTTCTGTAGACGGCCATAAGTTTGTTTGTCCTGGCGAAACAAACGTTAGGCCAAGCCAATAGTTAGTCTTTCAAAACTAAATAACTGGTGACTTGCTCCCATGTGAAGCTGAAGGTCCCAGTGCGCCTGGAACGACTGGCGCTGACTCTCCAGTTGCGCCTCGAAACGGCGAACAGGTGGGTACAGCGCCACCGCCTCACATCCTCCCTGCCAATTGTCTGCCCCTACTCCCCCACTGTGGAATGTCTTGGGTCGGTTTATGGGTTCTTAGGGTTGGTTTGGGGTTGGTTGAGGGCTGGTGTTGCATTAATGTAGATCAGCTTTATTGTAGAGTTCGTGAAGTGTCAACATGGGAATGCGGAGAGGTAGTAACATCAAACAAACCAAGCAAAAAAACAACAACGCAACAAAGCGCAAAGAAACAACCAAACAACCAAATAAGCAAACACAAAACAGACACACAAACAAAAACACAAACAAAACAAACGAACAATCAAACGAAGAAACAAACCAACAGACAAACAAGCAAGCAAGCAAACAAGCAAGCAAAGAAACAAAGAAACAAAGAAACAAAGAACCAAAGAAATAAAGAAATAAAGAAAGACATAGAGAAAGAATTAAAGAAAACAAACAAACAAACAAACAAACAAACAAACAAACAAACAAGCAAGCAAGCAAGCAAGCAAGCAAACAAACACACAGACACACACACACACACACAAACAAACAAGCACATAACAAACAAAACAAACAAAACAAACAATCACACGCACACAAACAAACAAACACACAAACAAACAAAACAAACAAACAAACAAACAAACAAGCAAAGAAACAAACACAGCCATCCCCACAAACAAACAAACGAACAAGCAAGCAATCAAGCAAACAAGCAAACAAACAAACCAGCAACGAAACAAACAAATACAGAAACACACACGCAACAAGCATTATTGTTTAACAAAAGAACACCAACAACAATCGACCAAACCAAACATAACAAACTAACTAAACAATCCAGCAAACCAGCAAACCAACAAACCAACAAACCAACAAACCAACAAGCAAGCAAGCAAGCAAGCAAGCAAGCAAGCAAGCAAGGAAGCAAGCAAGCAAGCAAGCAAACAAACAAACAAACACAACAGCACAAAACCAAACCAAACCAAACCAGGCCAAACCACACGGGCAAAGCAAGCAGGCAGACGCAGACAGACAGACAGATAGGCAGGCAGTCAGGCAGGCAGACAGGCGGAGAGGTAGAAAGACAGAAAGACAAAAGACAGAGACAGAGGGACAGACAGACAGGCAGGCAGGCAGGCTGGCTGGCAGACAAACAGACAGACAATAAAACAAATAGACAAACAACCACACAAACAAACACGCACACAAACAGACAAGCAGACACACAGACACATCGATACACACACACACACCAGGTCCTTGGGAGATAGCAAAGCGAACGGCCGCGCTTTGGATGCGGAAAGAATTCACAGCTCTGCGAAGCTTTACAAAATGTTTCCGAAAATTGTGGAACCCCCTTTGGTTGAGGGAAACCAAAAAGAAAGCCAATGTTAGAAGTCATGTCGCGCTGCACGAACCTCAAAACGCTTCTCCTTGATTGGCGCGCATTCTGCAGCGTTCGCAGCAGTGTCACGGCGTTTTGCCAGGATCACAACCTGATGCTGCATGGCCTGATCATCCATCGTCAAACAGCCAGACGTGATCGGCTGGGGACCTGCCTGCCCGACCTGAGCGGTTGTTCAAATTGATGATCCTTTTGCGGACCCAAGGCGGGTTAACATGAAATTGCAAGTGCGTCAGAAATTGGAAAGCGGCACATGTCGTTTGCCCAGAACCGCTTAACTCCCACAACACCCTGCCCCTTGCCTGGAATCTGTGTGCCGCCTCCAGGATGGGTTGCCGGACCTGCGATCTGGTAGATGGCAACGAGTGTCTGCGACGCCAAACAGACACCAAGCTTCACCGTTTCATTGACAGCGCACGGTTGCCTCAAAAAGCATCGCGTTTGTGACAATTATCGGCCTTGCTTGTCATTCATGAAAGATCACTGCTTTGAAAGAACTGCCCATCTTTGTAGTGTTTGGCGTTCCGAAGGAGAGCCTATGGACCGTAAGCCCCCGAAAGCTTTCACTCAACCACTGATGGGTCCTACTGGAGGACTCCTGGAACCCAAGGGTAATGATTTCATTCGCATTGACAATCCCCAGCACTCATAACCAGTCTGTTTAGAGTGGAGGGGTGCCTCATCCTACTTTGCAATCCCCACATTGTGGGGGGATTACTACGCAGGGAAGCAATTGCCTTTGAATAGGACACCATATTTGGCTCTTGAAACAGCAACACAAACACCTCTGTGTCATCCTAAAGTTCACCACTGCTTGTCTGCGCACAAAATCTAGACCGTGCGAGCACCGGCAATGCAAGATTCAAGCTGAGCTACGGCCGCAAAGATGCAGACTGAAAGCAGAGAAGCAGCCTCCAGTTGTACTACCCCCCGCTGAAACCGGAAGTTAGTCTTTCAAGGTCAGCGCCAAAATCACATTGGGCGGGAGACAATGGTGGCCCATGCCTTTGTTTGTTAAAATCATAGGTGTCCTTTTGGCAAAATGGATGGCCCTGGTAAATGGACTAAAGCCCATCTAAAAGAGTGCCATCTCTTTCTAAACAAGCTAACCTAAAAAAGGAAGCCTATGGCTATAATCGTTCAAACTGATTGGATACTCATGTCGTCGAGGCTTGAGAGCCATCAACCGCTCATATATTCGTGCCCGCCTGTTGCTCCATCTCGGTCATGAATGTCCGCATCCGGGCATTCAAATCCTGGAACACTTGCATTGGGGGACATGCAGCACTTGCTAAACTAAAACATGGTTGACTCACTGTGGCTTCTCAAAAGGTTCTGGCTGATCCAACCACTTGGCAAGTTTTCGGTGTAATTGCACCAAGAAACACAGGGCAGCAACGAGTCCTCAACAGAAGCATCTAGCAACACCTAACATCGGGCTGACGCTAGCAGAATGCCAACAAACAACTCAACTTCCACTCCAACTCCAGTGTCTGAGCCATCAAGTTCATACGTTCAGGTGTGTGTGTGTGTGCGCGCATGTGTGTGTGCATGTCGATGTAATACTATTTGATGTATGGTGTGTAATGCGTGTGAGTGTGTGTGTGTGTGTGCGCACATGCGCGTATATGTGTGTGGTGTGTATGTGTGTGTGTGTATGTGTGTGTATGTGTGTGTGTGTGCGTGCGTGCGTGCGTGCGTGCGTGCGTGCGTGTGTGTGTGTGTGTGTGTGTGTGTGTGTGTGTGTGTGTGTGTGTGTGTGTGTGTGTGTGTGTGTGTGCGTGTGTGTGTCTGTGTGCTTGCTTTATGCGTGTGTGTGTGTGTGTGTGCGTGTGTGCGTGTGTGCGTGTGTGCGTGTGTGCGTGTGTGTGTGTGTGTGTGTGTGTGTGTGTGTGTGTGTGTGTGTGTGTGTGTGTGTGTGTGTGTGTGTGTGTGTGTGTGTGTGTGTGTGTGTGTGCGGGTGCGTGCGTGCGCGCGTGCGCGTGCGCGTGCGCGTGCGCGTGCGCGTGTGCGTGTGCGTGTGCGTGTGCGTGTGCGTGTGCGTGTGCGTGTGCTCGTGCGTGCGACCGTGCGCGCGCCGGTGTGTGTGTGTGTGTGCGCGTGCGCCTGCGCATGTGTGTGTGTGTGTTGTGTCTGTGCGTGCGCGTCCGGTGTGTGATGTCATGGGGTGTGCGATGTGTGGTGCGCGGTGTGCGGTATGTAGTGTGTGGTGTGGGGTGTGCACGTGTATGTGTGTGTGTGTCCGTATCATGTCCGCATACATACATACATAACATGACATGGCATTACATTACTTTACAATTACTTTGCAATTACATTGCATTTCATTTAACTACATTCTATTACATTACATACATACATTACATTGCATCAAACACGGTTTCAACTCAACCTATTGCCAATACAAACATATGTTCCTTGCCCTGGACAATTACTGTACCTGCTTCAGGGGTTCTGTGGATGTTGGCTAACTAATCCGAATGCGCACAGTCTTGCGATCACACACCGCCACCGCCACCGCCACCGCCACCACCACCACCATCAAAACGACAGCTGCAACAGTGATGTCCGGAACATCACAGCAACTAACATTTTGACACTAGCAACAACAAAAGCCCCCCTCGCTAATCCCTGATACATACGTGTATATATATATATATAGATATATATATATATATACCTATCTGTTTCTCTCTTTGCCAACCATTCTATTGCTCGAGCTTTTCTCAGCATGGTCGTCTAATTTGATGCATCTCAATTACAGCAAGTTTATGTGTTGCCACCAATTTATCCCTGCAGCGGGAAAAACATGACGCCCCTCCATACTTCCCGACCCCCACAAATGAAAATCATAATAGAAAAGGTTCCTTTGATTGCGGGTCCATCTCCCCTTCCATAATTACACTAAGGGGAGGGGAGATTTTAATTCATGTCATGGGGATACCTATTTGAAACCAATCCATGTCATGTGGTGGGACACCGATTCTATTCGAATGTCTGGTGTTGCCATGGTCCGGTTGTCTTGCTGCTCCTCAGAATGGAATCGCCAAGGGTTTGGGGAACAAAACCGTTTGAACCACTCAAAGAAAATCACAAGTTGGATGTTTCAGTTCCCTAGTCTATTCTCGGTTGCTTTCAGCTCCCCTCCTAAAAAACATCAACTTTTAGTGGTTTGATGGAAAGCCCATTAGTTGGCAAAAAGTTAAAGTCCTAACATCGAAGCAAAATGCACCAATGTCTTGACGGAAGTCTCAAATTCCCGAGTCATTCCCGATCGAACCTTTGAAGTCGCTTCCTCGAGCCGATGCTCAACGAAATCTGAGTCACAATCAAAACCCGGTATTAAAATGGTCGACCCAAAACCATGCACAAGGCGGCCGCAACTATTTATGGTTGGGATTGTGCCTTACTAACCTTCATTTAACCGGGTTTCGATTGTGGCTGATCTCTCCTCCCCAGCTTGCACGAAGGGCTTCTGAAAGTTCTCTGCCTCGCGAAGGGCGGGAGGGTGGAGAATGTTTGGTGACACCGCATGTTGGAACCCACGGACTTTTTGGACTGGAGACAACCCACCAAACGGGAAGCGTCAACAAAGTGGTACCACTAAAGCCGTATGATGACGTTTGAGTGGGCTAAACTCTGTGAAGATACATTGGTCTTTCTGTCCACCAAACATGTTTTGAGGGTGTTCCTATCAAAATTGAAAGCCGCATGCCGCAATGCGGTCTGTGCTTGATTTTAAAAGGGTCTGTCTTTTTGCAGGGTACCCTGTTTGGGTGGTTCTAAAAGACAACCAACAACAAACACACATTGGACAACTGGACTCTGCTGTGGCCAAAGATCGCAAAGTGGTGGTCATGCATGGTCATGAAACATGACTTCTATGTGAATCCCCACACCAAAGGAAATCCACATTGACAGGTTGACAACCATCCCTAAAAAGCTCAAGTAAACAGGGTGTTTGACCATGTTTTGAGGGCTAGAAATCCCCAATGAATCCCTCTAACGTTTGTTTCCTCTTGTGTAGTGTCCATTCTAAAGCATCGACACTGACTACCCCGGACCCTACTTTGAGAGAAACCCATTGATCCAGGGATCCAATAACCAGACGGACAGTCCGCCAAAAAAACAAATGTATCTTCTCGAAAAGAAACTTTGGTATTCTGCATTCTGCGACTCATTCAGAGCCTGGGCTACAAACCGAGCTGCACACTTTGCACATCTGCTGCGACGAAGCAACGATGGCTCAGGCATGCATGCTCAAAGGACACGGCGCCCACAACACCGGAAGTGGTCCAAGCCAACCAATAGAAAATGGCAACGCGTGCAAACCAGTTGGAACCCTCCGAGAAGCTTGTGTCGTTTTCCCTCCCTGTTAATTATCATGGGCCAACACGATGCTCGCTCATACAAAACGCACAACAAAACAAGATGATAACACAAACACAAACACACCAACACACAGACGCACAGACGCACAGACGCACAGACACACAGACACAAACACACAGACACACAGACACACAGACACACAGACACACAGACACACAGACACACAGACACACAGACACACAGACACACAGACACACAGACACACAGACACACAGACACACAGACACACAGACACACAGACACACAGACACACAGACACACAGACACACAGACACACAGACACACAGACACACACAGACACACAGACACACAGACACACAGACACACAGACACACAGACACACAGACACACAGACACACAGACACACAGACACACAGACACACAGACACACAGACACACAGACACACAGACACACAGACACACAGACACACAGACACACAGACACACAGACACACAGACACACAGACACACAGACACACACACACAGACACACAGACACACAGACACACAGACACACAGACACACAGACACACAGACACACAGACACACAGACACACAGACACACAGACACACAGACACACAGACACACAGACACACAGACACACAGACACACAGACACACACAGACACACAGACACACAGACACACAGACACACAGACACACAGACACACAGACACACAGACACACAGACACACAGACACACAGACACACAGACACACAGACACACAGACACACAGACACACAGACACACAGACACACAGACACACAGACACACAGACACACAGACACACAGACACACAGACACACAGACACACAGACACACAGACACACAGACACACAGACACACAGACACACAGACACACAGACACACAGACACACAGACACACAGACACACAGACACAGACACACAGACACACAGACACAGACACACAGACACACAGACACACAGACACACAGACACACAGACACACAGACGCACAGACACACAGACACACAGACACACAGACACAGACACACAGACACACAGAGACACAAACACACAGACACACAGACACACAGACACACAGACACAGACACACAGACACAGACACACAGACACACAGACACACAGACACACAGACACACAGACACAGACACACAGACACACAGACACACAAACACACAAACACACAACCACATACCCACACAACCACACAACCACACAATTACACAACTACACAACCACACAACCACACAAACACACAAGAAAACACACAAGAAAACACACAAGAAAACACACAAGAAAACACACAAGAAAACACACAAGAAAACACAAGAAAACACACAAGAAAACACACAAGAAAACACACGAGAAAACACACGAGAAAACACACGAGAAAACACACGAGAAGAGAAAACACACGAGAACACACATGAGAACACACACGACAACACACACGAGAACACACACGAGAACACACACGAGAACACACACGAGAACACACAGGAACACACAGGAACACACAGGAACACACAGGAACACACAGGAACACACACGAACACACACGAACACACAGGAACACACACGAACACACACGAACACAAACGAACACACACGAACACACACGAACACAAACGAACACACAAACACACAAACACACAAACACATAAACACACACACACACACACAATCATCACACTCTCATACGCGCCAAACCGTACGCTCAAACATGAACGCATACACGTGCAAGTGCAAGTACAGGCAAACGTGCACTCGCGCGAGCGCACACACGCAAGAAAGCAAGCAAGCAAGCAAGCAAGCAGGCAGGCAGGCGGGCAGGCAGGCACGCAGGCAGGCAGGCAGGCAGGGAGGCAAGCAGGCACGCAGGCAGGCAGGCACACATAAATGCCACACGCCCACAGTTACAGGAGCAATCTCAGCCTCCACGTGCATTCGCAAATGCACATCTATACAACACACATATACACCCCGCGCCTCATCAGCAGTTTCTTCCTAATTTAAACAGGAAACATGTTCCCGTCTTTGCATAGGTGTTGCCTCAGAATGGTGTTCGTTGAGCAAACCGGATTTTGCTCTTGGCCGACCTTCAAGACTCTCTTCAACAAAGAGAGGGACAACGAAATCCACCGAAGGTCAGAGCAAGGAAAACCCCAGAGGGCATGTAGTCTCAAATGGCCCCCACAAACCGAAGATGGTCTTCCACCTGACCTCGTCTGTGGCAGGTTGTTGCGGGCTTCGAGGACATACTGTGGATGGACGAATTCCTGCACCACCCAAGCAACCATGGAATGACGACTCCCCTGTAAATACCAACAAACAATGGTTATCAACCATGGTTTGTTAGGTGGTGCCTTAAATGTATTTTGTCCATCCACAGCATGGCAAATAATTTTGTCCCACGGTTTCAAAGTGGTGCAGCATTTTCGTCCATCCACACTCGGTTGCTTTCTGCTCCCCTGCTAAAAGTTTAACTTTTAGTGGTTTAGTGGAAAACCAATTAGTTGGCAAAAAGTTAAAGTCCTAACAGCCAAGCAAAATGCACCAAAGCACAGTAACTCGGCTCTCCAGGCCTCGCCCCTCACCTTCCGCTGGAAGTCCTCGATCATGTCCTCAATGCCTCGTGATGAAGCTGACCCCCCCCCCCCCCCCCTTTCCGGGACATGCCCCAGCCGGTAGTGACTGTGGCTCAAGCAAATCAAAACTACTCTGGCCGTAGGGGAGCTTCATTTTACCACATCCTCAGCAGCATACTTGATCCCACATGATATCTGGAGTGCTTCTTGTGGCATTCCCCGCAACTGCCAGCCAATATGTCCATTGCAGAGCCGAATCCATGTTTGGCAACCACCACGACGCCCCCTTTTTCAAGACTGTCCGGTACTGTCCGCCTCAATCCACGAGTGGCAAAAACGTACTACTGAGCTAGAAATGTCTTTCAACGTATTCAGGGTGGCTTTTCCAAAGCCGAACACAAACAGCGAGCCGGAAACATGCAAAATATTATTGCATTTTGCTTAGAAAGGGTACCCCTGTTCAAGGCCACAGTTTCCTTTTGCTGTCCTATTACGCTGGAGGCTGCTGAAGATTAAGCTCCTCTTGTGGCCTGCCAAAGGCAGGGTAGCATGATACAAGGGTGCGAAGGTGCTTGATATTCCTGTCCTCTTGGAAGGTTCACTCGCCCACAGCTTGCGAGTCTGGTGACTATGGTAGGCAAAAAGGGAATCTTTGTTGGTGTTGACCATTTGTGGTTTCGGACCAAACAAAAAAGAGACGCATCATTGAAATCGACCCCCGAAGCCAGCGGTTTCGGCCCTGGGATTCGGCGAATGTCAAGGATCCCAAAGACGCCTGACACCGCGCGGGACGGGCTCCAGCTGGATCCGCGGTTGTCCCAGCCGGTATGGCCGTTGGACCAAACGTTGCCTGGCGAATTGAAGCACGTTGGATCCGGATGACGCGGGGAATGGCCGGTGAACCAAACGAAACGAACTAGCCCTGTGAAAGGGGGTGACTGAAACAAGGCCAAACCATGTTCTCGTTTTGACCTGCCACGTCAAGAAATGCTACATGAAAAGCATGGAGGCCAAAATCCCCAGAACTCAACATGTCCTGGGATCTGAAATTGCAAACCACCATGAAGCCAAGGCTGTGACAAGGGGATGTGTGTGTGTGCGTGTGTTCAATGATATAGGGCAGCATGCCATAGTGACATGTTGCTGGAAAATTCCAAGGATACTTCACATATTGAGGATCGGTTCCACTCCGTGGGAATTGGCAACTCTGTGCCAATTACAGGATATCATTGGACATAGACAAGTGAATCATCCAGGGTTAGCTTGTCATTGCTAATGAAATGACAACATGTTGATTCTGTGTGATGGATGATCAAGCTGATGATGCTGCTGCTGATGATGATGGTGGTGATGTTGATGAGGAGGAGGATGTTGCCCTTGCTGTGAAGAGTTCTCAAGTCAGGCTGCGGTATCCTGGAAACAAACAAACATGGATTGCATCGCATTGAGTTTGAGTGATGGCGCGCACACGTCTGGTCAAGGGCGAATCTTGTAATCCTCAAATATGTTTTTGTCGTACTCGGCATTCAGATCTCTGGTTCGCAGTCATCATCAGCATTACCTGCGTTATGATGAGCCGACTCAAGCTACCACAAAAACAGTCGGCCAAAGACAGCCGTCGGAGTCCTTGAAAACGTTTCCAAAGGCTGGGTCCTTCTGATAAATTGTAAACACATCTCTGAATTCTCCAAGGTAGCTCACGCGTCTCGGTCCCAGCTTTCCTCCAATCAAGGTCAAATCCCAAAGCATGAACCACTCCAGTGAGAGAGCAACGTAGAGATATTTTCTTCAGCACAGCAAGCCAATTCAGTGTTCGACTAATCTCCCATTCGGATTCTTAAGCCCCGAATGATTCAGAGACGCCTCTCTGTCGTCAGACGCTATCAACAAACCCCGGTTGATTCCAGCCACTAGCACATGCGCCAGGATCCAGTGCCGATGCCCCAATTTGCCGTTCAGGGGTAGAACTGGGGGCTCCGGAGCCAACGGACGTTTTTTCAACAGGGAAGAGAAGACCATAAAAATGGATTTCCACAGATTACCCTCAATTCCACGTTGAAGGTGTGGAGAAGTTGATAGGTACAGCATCAATCTTGTTCTGGCCTGGGAAGCCTATAGGTATCGATGTCCCATTTGGGAACAATTCTGGGTGAGTAGCTGCACGTCGTGCCTCTCTGATATTGAACAAGTCATTCTTTAAAGGGTCCCGTTTCGTATGTAGTTAGAAAGAAGAGGAACCCACCGGAGAAAGTCCAACTTTCGGGTCCTCAATTCTGGGCTTAAGAGAGCACCCGCCGATCACCATCCCCACATCCCAAGCGCGCGGCCCGCAGGTATCCAACCTGTGCTCGCAAAGGATGACCCCGCTTTGTCGATGGGTGCCAAACGGATCTGGGCCGTTTGGGCATCATATATAGCGCGTCTTAGAACAGGAAACGTTCGTGCAATGGCGAGTTGACCTTTGTTTGCCTTCCGAATCAGCCAAAAAAGACTAGTGGTTGCCTACATAATAGCCGTTTTCCTAAAACATTGTCGTATTTTGCAGGATTGCCGAACGCAACCGTCCAGGGTTGCCTGATTCTCAGACACTGCACTTGCATGCCTTCAGCCTGAACCTACGGAAATCTGAACCATGCAACAACATGTTTTTACATCTTGGCATGCCTGGCCGGCGTTCCGGAATTGTCCTTAGAAATTCATCCGTCCACAAAACTTTCAGCTGTGTGTGATTATTTCAGCAGGGGAGTCATGTCCACCAACCACTTTGGAGGTGGTTCCAACTCTGAAATGTCATAGCCAGCTTAGGTTCCAAATGCCACCTGCCGGGGTGGCAATGTGAGTTGTTTCGTCTCTGTTTTTGGAGTTGCCACCCCTTAGTGCACCAGAAGGCAACCCGAAAACTAAACCCTCAAAAAAGCCACGCCCATATACCATCCGATCGCAACTTGCTCAACACTACGAGCCACAGCGAAGTCCCTGATTAGGGGGGCGCATCTCCCGAAACTGGGCCGCCCTCTGATCCCCTGCTAAAATTGTTTAGCTTTTAGTGGAGTAAATGGAAACTAACAGGATCTAAAAAGTTAAGGGGACTGGTAGCCGCCAAGCAAAGTGTCCGAAAGTGAGACGTTCCAACTTTCACGGGCCGATATGTGTGTTTATGGATGCCCGTTAAGCCAGCCCGTCCCCACAGAAAGCAGTCTGCCTTCGTTAACCGGCGCCCGCCCGCCCACACCCCGCGAGTCTTTCGTGAGAGCTTGGGCCAGTCACCTGTTTGAGCATGCTAGAACCGCTGTTTCAACGACCATTGGGTTTTATTACAACAAAACCGTTAGGTTCGGTTTTTATAAACAGCCGCTGCAAGTGTTGACTTTAGTTTTAAAGGGCACTGTCGAGTTTGCACTTCTTTTTGTTGGCTGCGTCACACGATTACATTTGGCCGAGCTGCTGAGACGTCGAGGATGCGAAAACTCGTCGCCGGCCGGATCTCCACGCCATTGCTCCTGCACACTCATGCCCAACAGTCAGGCAGCCGGGTGCAGATTGAAAATGATACAGCCAAGCGCTTCCGTTGTTCCATTTCCTTGCCCCGAACTTTCTTTCAACGCAAGGTGCAGCCAGGAAATCCACGGCTTGGCTTCGGATGAGCTGCAAAATGCCATCGGCCAAACCAATGCTACTTCCTTTCCCAGTTCCCAAACCTCCATGGTACATGTCTTACAGTTTCTGGAGCAAAAAACACAGATCTGCTGTGGGCCCCCTTCAAGTCCAGTCACCCCCCCTCCGTACAAACAGCGGCCAAGAGGGGTGCAGGCCCGGGTGCTGAACCCTCAGCCAAGCTGCTGGACACCTGTAGTCTTGGGGGCTTTTGGGAAACTTATCGGCCCGCAGCAAATCGACCTTTTGGAACCTTTGGACGGTCTAGTTTGAGTCAATGCTGAGGTTAACCTTTGATTTCCTTCTTCTGCCATGTCAGGAAACTAAATGAGTCACGAGTCACCATCAATTTGAAGGTGTCGCTTTCAGGTTTACACCAACCAAAACTCTTGCAGCACCTTCTTTGTCACAAGACGAGACCTTCTTATCAGTTTCCAAGAACCGAGCATTCTTGGAGGAGTCAATTCAGACTCTCAATTTTGAATCAGCGGATGCGTTCAACAAAGGACGTGCTAGGGGCCATGGTCATTTGAGTTTCTCCGTTCTTGCAATTTTTCGGGTATGAGTCTCTAGCATCCTCATGAAAAGAGCTGACTGGCCACCGTTATTTGATTAACGTAGTTGGCCAGAGTTGTCATACTCTCTGAGCATAGGGGCCCGTTTGAGAAAATGGATGGTCCTGGTAAATTATGAAACAACCAGGTCAACCAGGCCAATCTGTTTTCTACCAACACAAACAAAAAGGACACCTATGGCTTTGACGCGTAGCGCAGGTGTAGTAATATCGAGTTCCAGCCCCTGTGAACCAGAGCGTGGGTGCGGGTGAACAAATATGTCACGTGTCTGGCTGTGAGGACAAAAACATCGAAACACCCCAGCTGTGCTGTCTTTGCATTTCAGTGGCTCGCCAGGCTCCAGCCATTTTCCGGGTCATGAAAGCTCAGCCCAATGCCCAGCCGGTCATTTCCGCTTCGCTCCGTCGGCTTCTGCTCGCCATGGTGGCCACCCTGATACCATCCCTTCGCGGTTTCTAGACGAGCCCGAGGTTCATTCTCAAAACCCCTGACACCATACTGAGAACCAGCAAGTTTCTTCATGTCCCTTTCTGGGTGAGAATAAAGGGACCCTTCCCTTACCACTCCGAGATCCCTGACATGTTCAATGCAACCAAAACAAATGGATGGAAACAGCCCCTTCCTCCTTTCTCTTAAGTCCACTATACAAATAATGAGTTCTTTGAGAAGAGAGGGGGGAAAAATGGGGGGTGTCTTTTGTTGAGGGTACCTCCTTTGGAGTGGTTTAAAAGGCAAACCAAACGCATGGGTGTCTTTTCACTAATTAGGGGCCTCCCAAACATGGATTTCGGCTTTCCTTTTGGCTTTCCCGTGAAACACCAAAAAAGGGTATCCTCAAACTGGGTTTCGTCCATTTCCCTTTCTGGAACCTCCAAGTTCAATGGAACCCGCTGAATTGATGCACTATTCAAGGGGAAATCCAGTGACTCTCACAAAACTGGCTCTTGGCTTTCCTTTTGGTGTCCCTTGCAAAGGTGAAATGCAACTTTTAAAGGGAAAATCCAGTGAACCCTGTGTAAACCAAATAAACGGAGTAGCCTCAAAGAGGTGTTCCTCTTGCCCTTTAAAACCACACGGAAGCTTGGCTGAGGTTGGAAGGGGACAATATTATCAGCTAAGTTGGGGTTTCCCACTAAACCACAATAAGCAAAAATGTACAGTGTTTCCCAACAACAACCATGGCAGGGGGCGCCTAGCCGCAAAAAACTGGGCTGTTCAAAATGGAGAGTTGGCCAATCCTAATCCAAAATCCCTAGAGGAAAGCCACTACAAAGGGGACCCCTTGCGAAAAACCAAAGGTAAGGATTAAGGATTGCCTTTGAACAGCCCAGAAAAAGGCGACGTGCGCTTCACCCACAAATCGACGCCTCGAGCTCCCGTCCTGCTGCTCCGGCGAGCTCAGGAAGGCCTCTCGCCCGGAGAGCAGCGCGCTGACGCTCAGCAGCACGAAGGCCCAGATGGCCAAGTACGAGGCCTGACCGGGGAAAATCGACACGTGGGCTTCTCAGTTGTTCAGTGACCTGGGAAAAAGGGAACCCTGTTCGGGGAAGACCATTTTTGGTGGGCAGCCACCAAAAAAAAGGGAAAAGGATGCCACTGAGCATGGAGCAAATCGACACATGGGTGGGGGTAAACAATAGGGTAACCCCAAAATGGCTTGCCAGGTAAATGGAAACAATGACTAAAACCTGTGGTTGTCTGGTGGTTTAACTTTGACCCATACCCACATGGGTTTGTCTCAAAACACCGGTGCCAAAAGGGTTGCCCGATCGGTAAGTGGAAACATGGACCAAAACCTGAGGTTTGCCCCTCCTGTTTAATTTTGAGCCACAGGGTCTGTCTCAAATTTGGCGAACCCCAAATATGGCAGGTTTCTTTTTGGTTTGCCTTTAAGACCATCCAAAAGGGCTCGCCAAAAAAGACAGACCCACATGGACATCCTAAGAGCCTCGGTTGTCATAAAAATGGGTTGTTGTTCGAAACCCGAAGAGCCTCAAAGGTCGTCATAAAAATGAAAAGGATGTTTGGTTTTGCCCCCGCAGTCATAGATTGAAGGCGATAAAATATAAGGATTTGATGTTTTTGGACTCAGTCAGAAGGATAAGCTGTTGGGGCCTTGACTAAAACATGGAAACCGACAGGTCAAAGGGTCGATTCGCTTCGGGGCAAGTGAGCTTCGCCATTTTTTTGCGATGCGCAAAGCCACCGTATGAAACAACAGCAACAAGACAGCAGCACGCAACATTGCATTGTTCAGTTTCTTTGTCTGCAGCATTTACTAGTGACTGCCAATTTGACCTGTCCAAAGAGAGTGGGTGCAGTGTCATGGGGCTGCCAAAATGGGTGAGGGGGGGTCTCGAATGCTGCAAAAATTAACTCTTGTGCATCCGCAAATGCGAGCTCGTGCCAATGTGCTCCAGGGAGTCCTCGACGGAAAGGAGAGCTCAGCCTCTTAAGGGAGTGGGCTGGGCCGAAAACTGCCTGGTGTTCAAGCAGCGACGTGAGGGATCTTGAAGGATGTGGCCTAGATATTTAATCCGGGAGCGTAAAATGGATCGGGTCGGGGTAAGCAGAGAGGGACGGTGGGTATGTGCTTGTGAGGGTTGGAATTCGTTGGAGCGCTGCTCCTCTGATGGAGAGAGTACTCGGTGGTAGTATGAGGACTTGATTCTGTATTATATTGTCTGAGTTGCGACTCTGTGAAAATCTGGGACTCCGCTGAGTAAGTGAGTATGGATTGGGCGATTTGTACGTAAACGTGGAGCTTCTTTTTGGTGGAAACTTCTTGGATGCTTTGTTGGGCCATATCTGTAGTGTTGACCTGCTGGATTGCAAGGCTTGTTGGCCTGCTGGAGCTGCTTGGGAGAAAATGCCTTTGGAGCATCCCAGGTGTTGGGGAGGCGCCATGTGAACTTCCTCCTCTTGAAGGCCTTGAAGAGCTCCTGGCAATAGTATTCAGTGGAAAGTTCCAACCTGAGAATAGAGGAATGTCTGGAAATCATGTGACTGTGCATTGCAACAATGGCCTGCTTCGGGTGGAGGCTTCCTGTAGCATGAAATAAGCATTGTTTTCCAGGGTAGTTCTGTTAAAACCAACTGCTGGGAGTCCCTTTAGCAGGGCAGCGCGGCGCGCTCTGGACGTTTCCAGAGACTTTAGTCTGCTGTCAGCCATCTCCATCTTGAGTTGGAGAAAAGCAAATTCCTGCTGCGTGGATTGGTAAAAGCTGTCACAGATCTTGAGGAGGTTGAGCGTGATGGAGGGCGAGAAGGAGGTAGAGTGGTACTCCATCATAGCGTCCTGAATGTTCTGTTCTGCTGTAATGTCAACTGCTGACGTGGCTGTAGCATCAAAAGGTCTCTTCTTGGGGAGGTCGATGTCAAGAAGCTGCCAGTGTCTGTATTCTATCTGGTGGTCCTGGAAGAAGAGCAGTGTAGCTGGGTGAAGTTGTCTGAGAGATAGTCAGCTGATGTCTTAAAGAGGGGTCGAGTTCCATCCATTCTATCTCCATAGCAGAAAGAGCGGCCAAGAAGTCCTGCGAGGCTCATCCTTGGGCTCAGTTCTGGATTTCTTGGATTCAGGGGGGGTATGATCGATGAAGAGTCGCTCTGCTGCTGTATGAACTTCTGCCATACGTTTTGTTGTTCCGGGGTCATCTGTACCGTAAGTGATTCCTCTGGCGAGGGTTCAGTCTTCGCGACAGGTTCCATGGCTCTGCAAAGCAAAGCGAGGAACAACAAAACGGGGCTGGCTTCTGCCAAATGCCTTGAGCTTCATTTCCATTCTTTCCAGGGACCCGAATCTTTCAAGACAACCATCAGAACCCCAACGGAAACATCGATCGGTTTTTGAAAAGAACGATGGTTGAAAAGAATGGTTGGAATGAACCCCTAGAAAAAATGGGCACCGACCGGTCAAAAGGTCGATTCGCTTTGGGCAATTGAGCTTCACCCAAGGACCCCCGACCTCTCCTTCTCGAAGGGTTCCATGATCGAACCCTCACTTCCGATCGGGTAGATTGGCCAAAACAAGTCTAAGCTTTTTGCTGCCGCCAACATTTTCTTCCCCAAAGGTGACGAATGTCCATAAACTCAGACAGCGAGAACCTTTCTGGGTGGAAAAGGCTGTGCCGACCGTGTTGATGATCTCTTCGACCAACCTAAACAAGCATAAACTGGAAGGCATGCCACAAGACAGCTGCGGTTTGCAGGGCCCAAACCATGAAATTTGACTGCTGATCACTGCTCTCCTCTAAATTCCACATTTCGCGTTGCGTCGCGCTGGTGGTTTCCCCCAACAACCAAACTCTAATAAACGAGATGCTTTTAGCGCCCCAGATTGGCGCTATACAAGCTGCGACAGTCCCAAATTCAAGCTCAGCTGCTGTTGCACCTGACTGCCGTCTCCGCCCCACTCTGCACAACCCCAGGTCACAACAGTCCCTGATTCGAGAATGGCAGCAAAAGCCTTCTCAGTTGTTTGGATGTGCCGCACGCTCCTCAGCTGCTCTTGCACCTGGCTGCTGTCTCCGCCTTCTTCTGGATCACCCCAGGTCACAACAGCTCCAGATGCAAGAATGGCAGCAAAAGCACTGTTAGTTGCTTGGATGTGCTGGACGTTCCTCAGCTGCTCTTGCACCTGGCTGCTGTCTCCGCCGTATTCTCGAGCACCCCAGGTCACAACAGACCCAAATTCAAGAATTGCAGCAAAAGCACGCTCGGTTGCCTGGATGTGCAGGACGTTCCTCAGCTGCTCTTGCGCCTGGCTGCTGTCTCCGCCGTCTTCTAAATCACCCCAGGTAACAACAGCACCACATTCAAGAATGGCTGCAAAAACACGCTCAGTTGCTTGGATGTGCTGAACGCTCCTAAGCTGATCTTGCACCTGGCTGCTGTCTCCGCCAAATTCTGGAACACCCCAGGTCACAACTGCCCCAGATTCAAGAATGGCCGCAAAAGCACCAGTAGCTGCTTGAATCTGCTGGACGTTCCTCAGCTGTTCTTGCACCTCGCTGCTGCCTCCTCCGAAGTCTGCAAAACCCCAAGTCACAACAGCGCCAGCTTCAAGAATGGCAGCAAAAGCATAGCCAGTTGATTGAATGTGCCGGACATTCCTCAGCTGCTCTTGCACTTCGCTGCTATCTCCGCCGCATGCTGGATCACCCCAGGTCACAGCGTCCCCTGATTCGAGAATGGCAGCAAAAGCACCAGCAGTTGCTTGGATGTGCTGGACGTTCCTCAGCTGCTCTTGCACCTGTCTGCTGTCTCCGCCTTCTTCTGGATTACCCCAGGTCACAACAGCACCAGATTCAAGAATGGCTGCAAAAGCAGCCCAAGTTGATTGGATGTGCTTGACGTTCCTCAGCTGCTCCTGCACCTGGCTGCTGTCTCCGCCAAAGTCTGGATTACCCCAGGTCACAACGGCCCCTGAGTCAAGAATGGCTGCAAAAGCACTGTTAGTTGCTTGGATGTGCTGGACGTTCCTCAGCTGCTCTTGCACCTGGCTGCTGTCTCCGTCCCGGTCTACACAACCCCAGGTCACAACCTCGTCCTCGTGGCCATACAAAGCAAACGCCGTATTGGTGGCAGCCAGTTTGCCCAGCGGCACAACCGCGGTCACCACGTCCCCATCTCGCAGCCCAACCTCGCTGAGCGTGGCGGTCAAATCGAGCTGCTGGCCTTTCGCAGTGAGCTTCAAGCGGCGCTGGAAATGCTGCTGGGCTGCAGCCTGTAGCTCGCTGATGGGCGTTTGCGGTGAGACTGCTATGGAGCAACCTGCTCCACTAGGCAAGTGAACATCCACCTTCATGGCACGCGAGAAGGTTCATGTGAGTGTGTGCAGGTTGACAAACAATAACCTGAAACACAACATATGTGAACTGCCTTGTTGAGTATTTTTGCGCTGGCCTCATCTTTGGACACTTGGGATGGCTCCAAATCAGTGTTGGAGAAGACTCGCTTTACTGTCCAATCGATACTGTTTGCCCTTGAAAACTGCTGCGGAGAGCACCGTGTCCCGTGTTCCCCCCCCCTGGTACGCTCCTCTCCAAAAGGCCACCGTTTTTTGCACGGATGGCACTCCCGCAACCCGAGCAATCCAACCCTGAATCAATCCTAATTTCAGCAGACAGAACCCCCAAACCCGCGTGTACCAAGCTGAATCAACCCCAACTCTAAACCAGCTCTAGTCCAACCCTAAACCACCCCCAAACCAAGGAGCGAATCCTGAGGGTTTCAACAAGGTCCGTTAACACCATGCGGATGCATGCTGCCGCATGCATCAATGTTAACAAGGGTTGGCGAGAGACTGACCTGTGCTTCAAACTGCGAAGGGACTTCTACTTATCCCTACCATTCAAGCTGTACATCCCCATTCTCTTCAGGGATCCTGCTCTTCAAAAGACGGGCCAATTCCCTTTGAGTGTCCAGCGAGAACTATGGGTGAAAAGAAGGTGGAATCAACACCCTTAGAGACCAGGGTGAGTTTTCAGTTCGTGTTCCTATGATCCCAAACAGAAAGGCGAGAAACGGGTCGTTGGAGGACTAATCCGGAAGACAATCGAGGCATTGGACCTCAAAAGGCACGACAGGAACCTTAGAAACACGCATCTATCCGCTTGATGTTGGTGACCCTCCTCAACGTTAACACGCAAAACTCTCCTTGACTGGTTCCTGGGAACATCTGTTTCACAAATTCAGGATCATGTCGGATTCTGTGTGAACGTCCACCTCTCGGGATGTCAGACAAGCAGTACCAACACTTCCATCATCGCTTCGACTTCTGCCATGAACCCCTTGGCATTGGAGGCAACCAAATCGAGGACCCCGCCTCCCCAAGGAACTGGTCAGGCCCGTCTTCCAGGTAGGACAGCAGCACCGACAAGCACGCCATGAGGAGCCTAGGTCCAATTCAACCGCGCTCATGTTCTATGTTACTATGTTCCTCCCACCAGGGCGAAGGTCCCCAATTCTACTAGTCCCCCATTTGATCTTCACAGACTCACTGTATCTGACGGTAGCCGAGGCCTGGGGTGTTTCCGGCCAGTGGGACCACCTTAAAAATTCAATTGAGTAGGGACCTCCTTGTGAAGAGGGTGTGGCTCAAAATCAAGCAGCTGCGATTACGCAGGTTTTGGTCCATGTTTCCACTTGTCGATCGGGTTACATTTTGGGTAGTGTTTTTTTTTTGTGAGCCACAGCCCAATATGTCTCCCGCGTCTCAAACTGTCAACGCATCGTTCCCCAGCTCAAAGCTTGGGGTTCTGGAGGGTAGGTTCCGGGGCTGCGTAGGGATATGGGTGTCTCACTCAGTGTGGGATTCGGACCCCGCAAAATGGTCGGTCTCCTTTTGGTTTCCCTAGGGTACCAACGGCATCAACTCCAAAAAAAGGACGAGCCGCCCATATCACCACTGCTGGGCTCCCCCAAAACCTCCCGTCCAAGAAGCGCTACGCCCTGGCCGTACCACGTCAAGAGGCGCACCGAGGGCAACGAGATCTTCACCTAGGAGAAGCAACTGTTGCCACTGTGCTCAAATTGGCTGTGGGTCAAAACTAATGGTACCATTTTGGGGGTAGGTGCACTACCCATGTTAGTCTATTTTAGTGGGTGCCACACAACTTGGAATTCCCTGCAACCAGATCGGAGGCTTGCTGCCAAGCGTCTTCCAATTCGGAGGGGACTAATAACCTGTGCCAAGCGACCTTCTAATCCATCATCCCAGAGCTTAAATTTGAGAACAGTCATCTTTCCGCAAATGGAGTGTACCCGGTCACAACCTGTCCCTCTGGATGCCAACTACATTCACCCCTTGCCAAATGGATGCTGCCAAACACGAGAGCCTTTTCTGGGAAGCTTGGTGACCCTAAGCCGCCCAAAACCCGCTGACTGCTCCAGTGAGATGGTTCTAAGCTACAAAGGCTTGTGGAGGCCTTACTGGAATTCCCTGGAAAGCAAACAAATATAGAACGGGGATCCTTACATTATACACCTGAACATTACCTTGTAAAGGGCGGTGTCACTGTATTTTTGTGGAAAAAGCCATGTTTCGAATGGGTTCAGGAGCCCTGTAGAACCACCTGCAAAAACAAGAAAGATGGGTTTCAGGCGCAGCTCAAATGAAAGTGAGGCAGCTGCGGTCTACCCCTCCGAGAGCTGGGCTGGGCAGAAATTTCCGCTCAAAACGGAGACGTCCCACACGAAGAGGTGCTTCTGCCTTGGGCATACCGTTGAGCTTTGATCCATGGAGCGCCAAATAAACAGGTCTGGGAAAAAGTTACAAACTTCCCGTCCCATTTATGGCGTGACTCATACCAAGTTGTTCGACCATCATTTTGGTGGTGCTTGTACACTGTTGGAAGTCGTTTGAGGCTCGAGTTGTGACGGTGTCTTTTCCATCGTCCTGTTGGAAACTTCGAACTTGCTATGTGGCACCTGGTCAAGCATGCTTGGCTAAACTCCAGCTGACTTAGATTGAGCCCAAAGGAGGGTCCTGACTGCATTTTCACCAACGGCCGTTCATGCCGAGTGATTCAAGCAAATTGGCACCCAGAAATCCCAAACACGTGAATGATAAAATATTCCGGACGGGAGTGACGGTTCGCTCGACTTACTCTAACTGTTCAGCAGCAAAGCGGCCTTCGCATAAGTGCAAACCTGTTCTGCTCTCCTCGAGAAATACAATCTGAACTTTCTCTGCACGTTGGACGTCTCCGCCATTTTTTCTGTGCCATGTTTGGTTGGGAAGCTGATGCGTCAACTTGAGGTATAATTGCCCAAACAGCCTTCCAAGCGCAATGGCTGACCGAACCCCAACAGCTGAGGTTGCCCCAAATCAACGCAGAACATGAATGCGTATGCTGCAGAACATCCCATAAACTCAACACACACACACACACACACACACATGACACATCACCCGAACCCTCCCTTTGCCTGAAATCTCAGTTTGATGCCCAAGTCGCTTCCCAAGCCATCCCTCCGTTTTATTCCGTAATCGAATCGAGTCGAAATTTCGCTGGGCGCGGGGCTCCACCTGGAGCTGCAGAGTGGGGCTGGCCTGTGCTGCCCAGCCCGTGGGCGCCAGGTCGTCCTATCGGATCACATCGGATCCATCCGATCGATCGGGGAACCAAGGAGCTACACGGACGGCGAGGAAGGCAGGATTTGTTCGGGTGAGCACGCGGGAGCACCCAAAAAACCCAGGCTCTGAGTGTTCGATCTGTATCGAACTTGGCGGTCGCATCCTGACCAAGGCCTTTCGGGGCCAAGCACGCCAAGACACGGTTGCCCTCTGCAAACGGAGCTGTAGGGCAAGCTTATACCGTTCTGAATGACATGTATACAACAGACCATTCTTGGAGTAGGACATGTTATGTTTTAGACTTTATGGAGGATATTGTTTCGACTCAGTTACAGATGATAATATGTGAATTGCAAATAATATGATAAACGGAAGCCCGTTTGACGTGCTCATGTTGTTTGGAAGCCCAAGAACCCAACTGGAACGGCAGCTCGAAGATGGGTTTGGCCAGGTCAGTCCAAACAGTGTCTCAGCCCCATTCTTTCGAGTCATGGCTGAGTGATTCTGTGGGTTCTACTTATCCTCCGTCGTTCAGTGACCTGGGAAAAAAAGGAACCCTTTTCGGGGAAGACCATTTTTAGTGGGGCAGCCACCAAAAAAAAGGGGGAAAAGGGTGCCGCTGAACAACTGAGTATCATGACCTTGTGATGCCAGTGAACGTTGAACTACTTTCCGTCCTGGAGGTCCAAATGTCGACTCTCCACGTCGTCCAGCAACCCCATTGGAGCACCTTCTTTCCTCAGCTCGCCAAGTGCCGAAAACATGGAGACATGCCAGGACATAAACTTGGGTATGTATCAAAACTGGTTACACTTCAAAGGGTAGAGTATGGCAACATTGAACCACCCAGGAAAGAAGTCGAGTGGGTGATTCAGAGATTTGCAGACTGCTACTGAGCAACTCCATATTTTTGATTGGCCCATGGACCTCTTTTTGGTGAACTCCGAATCCCAAGAGAAAGATCATGGCTCGACGGGGTGTGTCTGAATCGCAAAGCCATTTGGGTATGGGTCAAGATTCAACCAGGAGTTGGGCCACAGGAGTTAGTCCATGTTTTCATGTACCGATCGGGCGACCCATTTTGGGGTTGCCCGATTTTTGACCCACCATTTGAGTCTCCGAGCGGGGAAAATCGGGTTCACGCATGACGAGGCGCCAACTGGAGCCGAAGAAACCCGCGGTGCCCAGGAAGTTGGTGATGCCGGAGGCCACTGCAGACCTGCTCAGGAAAACCAAACGGAAAATCAACCGAGGACAAAAACAAAAAGAAGACCACAAAAACCAAAGGGGGTCCAAATCCCTATCTTGACTATGCGAAGCTGTGGATGGTCTGGGTATTCAAAGAATACTAAAACCGTATTGACAAGGACAAGGGAGAAGAACAGGGGGGAATCCTGTGCATCCAAACAGGCTTCTGATGAAGGTCATCCGATTCGCTTCACACATGTTTCGGAACCAATGACAATGAGGCCCTCTCCCAAAAACAGATATGTGAAAATTACACAATGGCCTGACCACAAAAGGACAAAGTTGGACGAACACATGTGAACAAGGGGCAACCATTACTCAAAGGGAATGTGTGTTGACTGGCAGCAACAGCTTCATGACAATAGTGCTGTCTCCAAATTCCAGTAGGTCTGTGTACATTCCATCAAACAAAGCAAGGCCAGCGATTCCAGCTAGATAGCACGCACCATGACAACTAAGCAAACATGTTGGCGCCAACCCCGAGGTTCGCCCACCCCCAACACTCCTAGTGTTTATGCTGGCCCCACCAACGCTGCCTTAGGATTTATCCTGGCCCCATCAACACTGTTTAGGGATTATGTTGGCATCCAGACACACGGCTTATGTTCACCCCACGAACAAGTTTTAGGGTTTATGTTGGGCCTACCAACACTGTTCAGGCTTTGATGACTGTTTTAGGGTTTCTGTTCGGCCTCACCTTTTTGGGGCCGGGGATAGCGGAGGGGGGCGGGCAAGCCTCAGTGTCCAGGCGAACGCGTTCATCCGTAGTCAGCTGAAAAACAAAGATTGAGAGGAATCTTGATTTGGGTAGTCAAAATTAAACCACCAGGAAACCGCGGAAATTCGTCATGTTTTCCATTTAGCAGGGCAAGCCATGTTGGGGATACCCCCATTTTTGACCCACACCCATTTGGCGACCCCAGTTCACCTGTGTTGTTGATTTTCTGCATCGAGAACTGTCATCGATCAGCTGTTGTATGTGCAGTGGAAGCAACTCTTCAGAGACCGAAACTAGGAAGATCTTAGAGGGAAGCCTGTTTGATGCTGATTTCAGTTTGTTCACACGCCAACTATCAGAACATGACACCACGGGCAGAGCAATACACACACACATGGCGTTCTGAAACAAGCCCACAAACCAATCCAAGAACATGAATCCAACTCAGACTGAACCAAACCACTCCAAGCCACCAAGTTTCACCAACGGAAAGGCTGCCCCCAAACCTCCATTTGCTCAAGTCCTGGAAAAATAACAAAATAACTAAAAGTATGTTCAGTAGTGATAGATTCCCTTAATACCAACTGGGGAAAATGACACAATGTGTCATTTTCCCCTGTTAGTTTTAAGGGAATCTATCTATTATGACATATTAACCAAGTGCAAGCCAAAAGGGCGAAGGCCCACGGCCAAGCCGTGGGGATTTCTTTCGAGGCGCATGGAGCCCAGCACCGAGGCCACGCGAGCGCCCGGCACCGAGACCTCTTTGCAGTCCGCGAAGCTCTGCCCTGACGAAACTTCTCCGCGGCAAGCGCCACGGCTTTTTTTTGACGAGGGAAACGAAAAATCCGAGGCGTCAAAGGAGACTTGCATTTGGTTCTACCTGGAGTCTCCTTCTGTCCCTTGAAAAATGGTTGGTCATTACCCAAAAGAATGGGGTCATGGACCCATTTAAGGGTCAGGGAGACTCCAAGGTCGGCTGTGGGTCACACATAGGTACTCAAAATGGAACCCTGGTAAGTGGAAACATAGACCAAAATCTGCGGTCCCCTGTTTGTTTTTTGTTTTTTGACCCACACCCAGTTGGTTCTAGGTCCTCCAGTGGAGAGGAGAGAATAAAGGTACCATGTTTTTCTTCTTTCGGTAGTCTATTTTAGTAGGGGAACCCTGCCCCCAAAAAAGGGAAGAGAAGCGCACTACTGGGGGACCTAGGGTTAAGACCCCCCTGGGAAAAATGAGACAATATGTCCAATAGTGATAGATTCTCTCTGAAGCCAAAAGGGGAAATAGAACATATTCTTCAGCAAATGGAAGGAGATTCGGAACTCCGTGTTAATCCGAGGAAATCAAGGGACATGTTAGGCTGTCCAACTTGACGTGTTTCCTGTTATAAAACATCCCAGCACCAATGAAGGACACAATTTATGTTCAAAGATGGTGACCATCCTGATCAACTACCATGACAGTGACTATCCCGATATACTCAGCTTTCCTGATCAAATACCCTAATCTACCCTCGGATCTAATCGTCGCACTAGCCGGAGAAGTCCATGAGCAGCCCGCAAGACTACGGGCACAGCAACGGAATCTGTTTTGGGGATAACCGTTGGGTGGCTTGGGTCAATTTCAAAAGAACTCTGCTTCCAAAGGGAACACTGCAATAGTTGTGATTCGTGAAAACGGTTGTCTCCCGCCTGGCAACCGAGTTCCAACATGTGCCATGATTCTGCTTTAGACAGCTACAATGGCTGAAGCGAGACGGGCCACACGCACAAGAAAACAAGAAAGGCAAATCCACCTGCAGGTCTTGGATGCTTCCTCAAAGCAATCTGAGTAGTGGTAGAAGTGCCAGAATAAGCACCTTCTGCATAGCCTGCCTTCAGTCATGCTCCTATTTGGGCTAGCCTCTCTGTAAAGAAAGATTGAAACAAGTTGCAATTAGCTTTCAAGATTGCTACAGAGTATCCACAGGCATAAGGCTGAGCATTGAACAAAAGCACCTGCAACCAAGCGAAGAAGACAAAACAACACCATCCCTGCCTGGTCAAAATGCAAGGGGTGGAACAGATCAGAATATAGGAGGTACATGATACATGTCGTACAAACATACCTAGACCCTCCAGATGTGCATTTTTTCTGCCGTTTGCTGAAAAAGCTACATATTGTGTCGTTTGCTCCAAAAAGAGCCTTTTCCTTTTAAAAGTGCTGCTTCAAAATCTTGCCAAAACGTGGTCGGCAAATGTCGCTTTTTGGTCGGGGAATGTCGCCTTTGGGTCGGGCAATGTCGCCTTTTCGTCTTCATCCTGGTTTCGCAAAACAGCAAAATATGCAAAAATGCGCTGAGGCAAAAACATGTGTCGTTTGCACCAAAAGGAGCCTTTGGCCCGAACAGCACAAAAAAGGCATACTTAGGAGGGCTCAGGTATATGTTCAGAGTAAACTAGCAGCCGGTATGGTTAATTGATTGCGTGTTGTATTTTTGAGGGTACCCTGTACCCGTTTTTGTGGTTCTAAGGAAAATCAAAAGGACAACCACCATTTTGAGGGTCCACCAAAAAAATCCACGCCCAATTCGATGACCCCTAGTCCCGAAATCCGATCAATGCCCAGCCTGTGCAAACCCAACGAGCGCCCTGGGCAACCATCAGCAGCAAACCTGGCGACCCATTATCCCATTCCCTCGTTACCTCTATTTCCTGTCTGTTGATGATGGAAGGTATTAGACGGAATGGAATGGAGGCGGTGATAAAGAGTGAGATTTCCTGTCACCTATCCTAACTGGGGGTCCCGCCCCGCTGCTGACTGGGTGCTGAATAGCATGCCCCAGTTGCCATCCTCCTGCTCATTTTCTTTGCGAAATTGAAAACACACAATCTGGGCCCGCAAAAAAACACCTGACTAGGGAAATCAACACAAACAGCTTGGCCCTTCGCGGGCACAGTCCAAGAGTTGAAAACCAATTTACCAATTCGGGCCGCTGATCGGAAAGCTGAAGGAGGGCTCGAAGAGGGTTGCCTTCGGTGTGGCAAAGGTTGGCTTCGGGGGAGTCATCTCCACACTGTTGACGACCTGGCCGCTTATGCAGGTCACGGTCACCCGAACAAGCCAGAGTGAAGTCTGGATTCGCCCTTTGCAAAGAACCAGTGCACTTGGTGTTGAACCGTTCCGCAGCCAGGTGGCTGATCCGTTTGAGAAGTCGCTGGTTGAACAAAATGATGCAAAACAAGCAAACAAGGTCCTTACACAACTCAAAACCGGATATGGTGTTCTTAAAAGACTGGAATTTGCCAAAGAAATGCGTCTCCAGGCAAACGTTCCAACACTCGTGTTGCACAGCTGTTGTTTCTGTTTGAACGATTTTGTACGTGTGGCTACAGGTGTCCGTGTTCTCCAGGGACCTGACATGAACTTCCAACTGAGCAGCGGTCCTACTGCCAATGGCAAGGAAGTCCGCTCTCAGAATGCCACTCGAATCGGTTCGGTCCTATCGGCGTTGCCCCGTTCCTTTGTAGAAATCGACGCTTCGCATTTCCTAGTTGGGATCCCCACACATCGCTCCCGTGGTGTGCCAACACTCTCGTATAACGGCTTCATGCCTACCTGGATCTCCTGGAAGTTAAGAATTCCTACTCCAAAAATTGAAAAAGTACTTTTTGGCCTGAGGACACGGGTATTTCCACTTTCGAACGGGTATTTCTACTCTTGAACGGATATTTTCACTAGCATCGAAGTGTTCATAAATCAGCACTATTCTCAAAGGCTTATTGCGTAATGTTGGCGTATTTTTTACGTACCTCCGAACGGGCCCGAACGGGTCCGAGCGGGTACGAACGGGTTCGAACGGGTTTCGAACGGGTTTCGAATGGGTTTGAACGGGTCCGAGCGGATGCCTGAGCAGTCGGAACTACCTGAACAGGCGTTTTAACACGGACTGAAAATTATCACTCCAGCATGGAAGAAAGTACTTTTTTCTTTTTGGAGTGGGAATTATTAACTTTCAAGAGATGCAGGTACTGGCCATCTTGACCCAATCAATCGTTTGGATGAGCACCTCTTTTCCATGTTGTTTGGCCATTGCAATTTGGGCAAAAATCTTATTTGGACACCCTTTAGTGGGCATCATGTGCACAGGTATTTTACTTCACCAAATTGAGAACATGTTCATACCGATAATTTGCAAAGGGACAGCAACACAACAAGAAACGGCTACCCAGATTGCGCCAGTTTGGGATGAACACCGATGCTGCAGGTCTTTGGCACCCTCAAAAACACGCACAGATGAAGAGAACGGAAAAAAGAAGAAAAAGGGAAGAGAAAGGAGGAGTAGAAAACAAAGGGAGAATGAGGGCTGTGGGGTTGGAAGACACGCTGCTGGGGCTGCTGCCTCAGAGACTGGCATGGTAATCCCATGTAACACACTTTAATGGCAGTAGCCTGTGTCGTGTAAAGTGTTTGACTGTTTTGGGGTCCTCTATTGTGTTTTTTTTTTGCCGGAAAACACACCGGGAAAAATCCGGGCAAACAACGACTGTCCAAAGAAAAGTCGGACAAAACACGGGCAAACAAATCCGGGCAAACATTAGGAATTCCTTCTTTGAAGCGGTCCCCCAAACCATCAATTTTAACTTCTTTACCAAATAAGGGCAAACATTCGCGCAAAGGGGGTTGCCCGCAAGAGGCCCTGATCCTGTTTTGGGGTCCTCTTTAGAGTCCAACTATTTTGGGGGTTGCTGAAGTCTCACATACAAGCCTTAGCCGTTGCCATTAACAAGGGTGGTTCACCTAACCAAGCTATTCCCAGCTCAACAGGTAAAGGCCGTGGGTCTAGGCAGTCCGTTTTGCCAGTGGCCCACAAACCATCAAATTTAAGATATTACCCGCAAGAAACCTTGAGCCTCTTTAATAAAACTGTTTTGGGGCCGTCTTTAGTGTCAAACCTTTTTGGGGTTGCTGGAAGAAACGGCCTTGGCAACAGTAAAATAGAATTGGCAACTACTGGGAATTTGAGAGTCAGCCTTGGCAATACTACAGTAGAATTGGCAAGGCTAAAGTCAGCACTGGGAATCTGAAAGTCGGCCTGGGCAGTACTAGATTAAGTTGGCAATGCTAAAGTTCGCACTGTTTTTCCAAGACCAGGGTTTGGCGTAAAGAGGGTCCAGCTGACTGGTTCCACTCCTGCGGGGAGGGGGGGGGGGGAAAGCATTAAAGCAGGTCCAACATTAATCCTCCACAATCCGTCAATATCACTAACTTCTGACCTTTCCAGTTTCAAGTCGTCCACTAGCATTGGCAGCCCAGGCGCAATGCGGATCCCAAAGGATGAATTGCAAAGTCCTTCCCCGCAGGCTATCACCCATGTCTTGCCGCTGGGGAGCAAGAAGAAAACTCTCAACCTATAGCCACGGATTCTGATAGTTTGGTTTTAGATACTGATAGCTTCATTTCTTGGAGTGGGTGTTGTGCAGAATTTGCTTGGGAGTGTCTAGTTACTTCCCTGTATATGTTTGAAGTCAGGATAGCACATATTGCTGTGTGTGACCTGTGTCAGGTGATGCCTTATAATCAGTAGATGCATGATGTTCAAATCCTCAAGTGACTAATCGTTAGATGCGTGATGTTCAAATCTTCAACATCGCCAGGGCAAATTTCATGCCCTAGCCTACCAAGCCAGGCCCAAGCATGTCAACTCAGCAGTGACAGTCACAGGTTGAGCCAGCTGATCTGGCCTGCATTACATATCCTTTGGCAATCTTTATACTAATACTATTCTTGTGCAATACTGAAAACAAATTAGGGCACACTCGGGTACCATCTTGACTGCTGGCTGGTTCATCAGCAGCCACTGGGGCTGATGATCCAGAAGCAGTGCCTGGGCAGGCCACTGACACAAGTGCAAAGGATTCTGATTTGGCAGAAATTCAAGATTCTCACTGTTCCCGAAAATGCAAGATGCAAAGTTGAAAGGAACTGGTGGTGCTGGGGATGCTGGCTGTAATGCAGCGGTGGACTTGACCCACCATCATGTGCTCTGGTGATGGACTCCCTAGTAGTTTACCCACTCAGAGTGATGCCTTAGCCAGCAGGCTTCTGGGCCAGGTGCTTTGGAATATTGGAGTGGAGCCAATTTAATCGTCTAAAATTGTTGCAGCAGTTGTTCGTGATCCAAATCGAAGGATGACTTGCAAATGTTCAGAGCTGCTCAGCAAGAGTCACCTGCACTACTTGTGTGGGACATGGAGTAATCACTGCACTCTCATATCGCGAATTGGGCAGCATCAAAAATGGAGCATGAGAGGCAGTGTCAGCCACAAAATACTTGGTGATGCAGAAAACGTCAAGATCATGAGGACGGAAATTGGGCAGGCATGATTCCACCAGCTGCAAGAGCTTGCAGCTCTGCCCGGCTCAACTTCCAAGTGAAGGAATGAGGAGTCTCAATCTTCTGTCGGTTCTGAAAGCAATTGTAGGGCTTGATGCCAAGTGGGGCAACCCAGTGCCCGAAGTCACGAACATGAGAAACATGATCCACATGGCACTGGTAGCCCGTGCTCAGGAGCAAGGACTCCATGCCAGCATGGATCCCTTGAACAAGGTCTCAAGTGGGGTGTGGACCCTGATTTTTTCTCAAAACACGAGCAAGCAATAAAGAGAAGATGAAGTCCACGTCCTCATGCGTGCGCCCCTTGCGCAAGTAGCAAATGTTTGTTGAATCAAATGCGAAGCGACGTGTACGAATGCCCATGAAAAGTGCGGTCTCTGCATTCTTGCAAGCTGCAACCGTATTGTCACTTTGAATACACCGATGACGCCTCTGCAAGGTGCGAATTCCCTCTATTGCCCTGCAGCATTTTTTACTTTGCATAATTTGTGATGGCCTTGACCGCTCCACCCGCGTCTTGTTATTCATGCTTCTATGAGTTATGGATATAGTTGCGGCTTCTACATCTCCGAAGAAGAATGTACATTTCACAGTGCTTCATACCTCTTGGACATCTTGACACGGAACAAAAATGCGGACCTGGCCTGGCTTGGGGTCTCCCTGGTCAGGACCGGTCCCACCTGTCCCACGCAACCCAATCCTCATGTGGCAGTTGATCAGTATTCCTGTCTCCGGAAAGCGCCATCTTCGCGAGAAAAAAAGTTTCTTTCGCGAATCTTTCGCGACTCCATCGCCACGCCCTTTTGTTTGCAGCGTGCGCTCTGGAGCCGTTGTGGCTGCTGCAGTTGTGCTTGCAAACACAGTAGCCGCAGTTCACTTGCGCTGGCAGGCTTGCAGTAGCGTTCAAAGAAAGCAGTCACTCTCATTCGCCCTTGTCACTTGCGCTTGCCGGGGAAGTGCGGAACCTTGCAACAAGCTCCATGGACTGTTGCCGGTCTTTCGCGGATCTTTCGCGAAACTTGCTCCAAAACAGCCCAGCCAACGTTATTGGTTTGCACCATTCCCAACACAGGAATGAGAATCAATAATGCAAGTATAAGTGCTGCCCATCTACCTGTCTACAAGGGAGCGGGGTGGGTCTGCAAATATGCAAGTGCACAGGATGCCTCCAAGAACCCAACGCGGAATCTTTCGCGAAAGAAAAAAGTTTCTTTCGCGAACTCCATCGCCGATCTTTCGCGGAGGGATTTAAACAATAATGGTCACGGAATACATAACTCCTTGCAAGGACCTTTTGATCAACTCCCATATTTTGATGAAGATTTTCCACTGACACGCCTGAAATCAGGCTGTTCCCGCAAACTGGGTCCTGGGGCCGCTGGCTGCTGGCCGCTGGCCAAGCAGCCAAACGGACCAGCTCCCCCATGTTTGTGCGTTGTCCGTTCATGAGGGTCGGCAGCAGGCCCTTGTGAATAAGAACTATAACTTTGACAAAATGAGGACAAATGAGGCGCCAGTACGAAACGCTACTTGGATGCTACAGGAAGATCACAAGAAAACCATTCCAAGAATAACACGCATTGAATACTAGTCAGTCCTGACCAGTTTTTATCCTATGTCTTTGTTTCGCATGTTGTGGTCCGATTGGGTTCAACTTCATGTTCTCTGCGGCAGTTCAAGTGGGGCCGGACCCTTGTGTCAAAAACAACAAGGCAAACCTATGTATGTTCTTAGAGTCTTGTGTTCTTAGTTTCTCACTTGAACTTTTTTCCGCTGATTTGACTCAAAGACCAACGGCAATCGCCGCTAGCCTAGCCTGTGGGAACGAATACGAAGACTGGACTACTTTTGGGGCTTGAAACAAATGACGAAATGAAAGCTCTAGAAGGTCTCCGGAAGACGGGAAGAGAAAGCTTGGATGTTGATGATGATGACGACGAGGATGAGGATGAGGATGAGGATGAGGATGAGGATGAGGATGATGATGATGATGATGATGATGATGATGATGATGCCGTTTCATTATGTTCGTGTAGTTTCGCTTGCCTCGAATTGAAAACAAGGAAAATAAATGAAACAAATGAACAAACATGACAAATCCAGGGGCAGGAAGAGAGCACTCGGATGAAGGTGATAAAAATGAGGACAACCGCTCCATGTCTTTTGATTTCCTTACATGTCCCCTTCATGTCCTCAAAATTTCCCCACATTTTCTTTTCTGTGGCTTTTGCCTCTCTTTCATGTCCTTTTCATATCTTTGGATTCCTTGTAATTTGCATTCGTTTCACCGTTATTTCCTGTTCAGTCCCTTTACTATGAAGACTACAGGGAGACTGCAGAACACAGGCCGGTCACATGATACATACTATCCCCTCCTCCACCCCCACCCCAAGCCCGCCCGTCTCCCCAACCCCCAAACCCGACTCAACCTCCCCCCCCCCCCGCAGCCCACCCCAAATTCCCCCACCCCCGAGGTTTTCACCCGCCTCCAATGGCCAGAATCCCGATGCTGCAGAAGCGAAGGCCCATGACCTCATCATTTTCGCCCAGCGAGAGGTCTGGAAAATTCTGAAAACTCTTCTCCTTTTTGGATTTCCGTGAGGAATTAGCAAGACCATCGGTCTGGAAAGTTCAAAAGTAGAAACAAACGGCGTGTGTCCACCAGTGCGGTGGGCCAGCATGCAGACAAGAACCGTCCAGGTTTTAGGTTTATCGGACCTTTGTAGGATTGCCAGGTGTCTTGCGGGTGAAAGGGCGTGCTTGAAGCCAGACGGACAATTCGCTGGTATTTTCATGTCTCTGGCCGCTCTCTATTCCAGCTCACCTCCGATGACAGCAATATGTTTCAGGGAACTGTGGAAATCATTTTGGTGGTGATGCTCACCTGATCATGAAAAGCACCTGAGCGTGTGAAAGTGGTGACCGTCACACAGCGTCGTTCGCGCCGCTTGGCAGAAACTGCCCGTCTCCTTCGATTTCCCGTTTCGAGAAATTAAACACGAAGGGCAGTTTAGCCCCCAGGAAAGTTACAAGGGCACTGCTGAGAATGTTTTTGTTACTTTGCTTGGAGAGGGCAGTGCCAATGTCCAGTTCTTATGTGCTTTTTGTTCCAGTCTTTCGAGGGTCAAGGTTCCCTGTGCCAAAAGTCACACGATGCCCTGCAGGCTGCTCCAGAGTGGAACAAATCTGCTTCTGTTCAAGGGTGTCACACCGAAAACAAAACATGTCGTGTTTATCAGTAACAACCCATTCGGCATGCGCGCATTGGGAAAATAGTATACAATGAGGTAGGTTTTGAAATACAGCAAACCACAACCAGTTGAATGTGAAACCACAACCAGTTGAATGTGGTGGTTAAAGCTGTCCAAACACCAGCGCACAACAATCACAAATCTTTGACCGCCCCTGGACCGAAATGGTTCCCGCAAAATGGCCATGCGCAACTCGTCGCAGAGCTTGGGGCCCATTTCGAGGTTGTGGGCCACCCTGGGCCCAACCAAAACAAAAAACAAACACCCAACAAAAACGAATCTGGTTCTCCCAACAAAAACCACGCTGCATCCTCCGGCCGAGGCACCGTATTGTAACTCCGGCCCATGAAGAGTAACATGGTGTCGCTTTGGCGCGCGCAGTTCGGCTCCCACATCAGCTCCAGGCGCACTCGGCCTGCCCCAGCCAGAAAGCACTCCCTCGCGGGTCCCGCTAGATGCAACCGTCCTTGGGATTTGCTTTTTGAGGGTACCTGCCAAACGGCCAAAAAACACTCCCTCGCAGTTTTGCTTTTTGAGTGGTACCCTTTTAAAGAAACAGCCAGAAAGCAATCCTCGGGGTTGTGCTTTTTGAGGGTACCCTTTTGAACTTGTTGCTTCACAAAGCCAAGAGGACAACCACCATTTTGATCCGTTTTGCGGAGGTTCCCCTATATCGGGCCTAAGATGTTTTTGGGCGTTGGTGCTGCAAAATGACGAGGCTGTCTCTCAGGCAAGTGCGGGGCAAGGCCCCGCACTAACCCGGGGTATAGGGAAAACCATCTCAAGTTTCAACGAGCAGACCGTACCCATGCGCATACGAAAGTGGCCTTTCTGCGCCAAAGGTCGGCACACGATATGATCCATGCATCAGCCAGGGCACTTGGAGATAACGTAGGGGCCATGACATTCATGCATGTGCCATATTGATTTATATGTACGTATATATATGTACATATATGTGCATGTATAAACATGTGTATATATTTATATATATATATATATATATGCATATACGAATATGTATATATGTAAATGATATATATGGAAATATATGTATACATATACACATATACGCATAATACAAGGAGAAGGTACGTGTCGATCCCCATCTTATGCACTTAGGGGTTCGGATCATGGTCAGCGTCTGAATTCTCCGAGCCTGTGCTGTTTCCGATCGCTTCATGGGTTCATGCGCGGTTCAATCTCCAAGGCGTCATCGCAAAGAGTCTTACTGTGGATGGACAACATCCTGCACCAAATTAAAACCATATGAGAACATTTTTGTTGGTATTTACACGGGAATCATCATTCCATGGTTTCTCAGGTGGTGCAGGATTTCGTCCATCCACAGTATGGAGACAAGTAACTGCAGACGATGGCTTTCCAACCAGTTGTCGTAGGGGTTCATCCATCCCTGGTGCAAAACTGTGGCTGGACGCTGCATTTCTGTTTCCAACGACCCTCTGGTAGTGTTGTGGCCACTGGCAAATGATGGCAGGAGTCTGGCTACACACGCAGTCTTAGGTGCTGGAATCAAACAAGCCCTGGATGAAGTAATTTATAAGGCTTGGCACCATGTTCCGAAATGCGGAGTCAAGTCATATTGTGGCTTGGAACGATGCTTCCAGATTGAGGGACAAACCAACATTGACCAGAACGCCTTTGGTTTACGAGGGGGACTGCAGACGCGGAAGATGCCAAACGCAATCAGGACGACAATCACCAAGAAAACACACCTGTTTCATGAATCCGGAGTGAAACTGAGCTAAGTTGTCAAAATGGGCTAAGTACGACGTGGCAGTGATGTCCCCAGAAGTAGATCCATGAGGAACAATGTTCAATGAGCATTAAAAACACGTCTGGCGCATGAACTCAGCACCTGCAGTTGCATTCATACAAAAGGCAAGCGGCAACAGTGCGCAAGAGATGTTGCTTTGTTCGTGTAGGGGCTGGTGGGAATATACATATGTGTTTGCATGCTGCCTCACTCGCGCGCGTGAGAATTACTGCCTCCTTGATGTTTTGACACAAGGATAGAAACTGGGCTACTCGCTCCAAAATGCTAGCAGTCCGCTTCGGTAACACCACCCAGCACAAGTGGAAGCGTTCCCCTCACCCACAAGACAAGAAAAATAAACTGTTCAGTCTGGATCCGAAATGCCTCTTCAAACAAGCACATGAAAGGACAAGTCACAGCAATTTTGTGAAAGACCCTGAAACGGCCGGCCACTCAAAGGGGATCTAGATCAGTCAGCGCTCGGGTTGTGTGTCTTCAAGGGCAACTGGCTCGCTTGGCAAAGTTCAATCGAGTCAAACCAAAATTCCTTGTGCATTGAAAATAAAACGTTATTCCAACCCCCAATACTTTTGAGCAGGTATTGCTGGTAGCATGGCAAACAAAGAATCCCTCTGCGACAGCAAACAGACCTTCCAAGAAGACTATGAAACTGCTTTACTTCGAACAATCCATGCCTACGAAAATGGCAAACAAAAACAACCGCAGAACACAGGCACCAAACAATCAATCCGACTGCGTGCAGGGCTTCAGGCTGAATGGCAAAGAAACCCCTTCAACCAAAAATGGAACAAGGCAGCGTTCACCCCTACTCAATAGCAGCCTGAGCTGCTACCGAAATCAGGCTTCCTGTTTGGTGGAGATTTCCTTCATGCGGCTCACTCCAATTCTTCGAGGGGAGGCAAGCTCTACAAAAACACATCATTGAGCCCCAAGATCCAACTACATGGGCTGATGGCAGCTGAATATCAGCTGAACATGTGGGGGAAAAGGAAAAACAAACCGAATCCACGCGCCGAATCCACGCGCCGCAGGCCTTCGGATTCCGTGGAACCCGTCGATCCCGAGGGGCCGAGCTGTAGCTCCTGTCGTCAAGAGCTACGCGGATTGCTCCGTGGAAAACTGCCCGAGGTCAAACTAAAAATCGGACCTGGGCAACGGACCTCGCCATTGGTTGACAGTCGAGGTTTACCTCGATCCATTGGCATGCGGATCCTCCGTTCCATTCCGAAACACATGCTCGATCCTGCTTCACTTGTTGCACACCACGAGCGTGCACAATTCTGGACTCAAATCATTTGTTCGTGCTCAGGCTTCTTTTCACTCAGAGTAGGATGGGAGTACAACGCCAGCATTGGCCCCTCCCACCTGGTTGTCTTTCTATTCAGGGAACCGCATCAGACTTGGAGTCAACGCGGGGAAGCACGAGGCAACTGGCTGCTCTGCTTTTGGCCGGGTCTTGGCAAGGGCCCTTTGAGGCCTTCGCTTGTGCATCCCCAGGGGGAGGGGTTTGATCCAGTGCGACCTAGACCAGGCGGGCCAAACGCGGAGCAACTGATACTCGGTTGCGAAATCTGCGAAGCCCTGCTAAAAGTGACTAACTTTTAGCGGTTTAATCGAAAACCCATTAGTTGGCAAAAAGTTAAAGTCCTAACATCCAAGCAAAATGCACCAAAGAGTATGCAATCGGGTCTGCGATGTGGCATTGGATTTGGGAGATTGAAGACATGGCGCATGAAACATGTGGCTGTGGCTCAAAAACATGTACTAAAAATGGCACCTTGGTAGATGGAACCAAAGACTAAAACCTGCGTAACCCTAGCTCTTAAATTTTGAGCCACACCCATGTGAGACACGTCGGACATGTCAGACATGCCACACGGGTCAAATAGGTCGAAAACGTCAGAGGCAAACGTGGCTGATGTGAGCAAGCTGCCTGACATGTTTCAAGTGTCAAATGTGTTTGACGCATTTGAAATGTCCCACTCATCTGATGGTCTATAGAGTTCGAAAGCTCGCCACAAAAAGCAAACTGGACCGACGAAAAGGTCTCCCCCTGTGTGCAAGGAACTGGGTGTGTCTCTTCTGAGGGGACCCCTCCAAAATGGATTTCGGTTTTCCTCTTGGTTTCCTCTAAAACCACCCAAAACTGGGGTCCCCTCAAGAAAAGACAGACCCAAAGGCATTCAACCGGTTTTCAACGCCCGCTCTGAGTGCTTTTCTAGGTCCTCCAGTACAAAGGTTTGAATAAGGGTACCAACTTTTTTTGGTAGTCTATTTTAGGGAAACCCTCCCAACCGAAAAAGGCGAGAGAACGGCACCTAGCAGGGGGACCTAGTTTTGTAAGCGTTTGTCGTCCTCCACTTTCCTTTCGTCCGCTTCGATCTCGGGGATTGCCAGCTCGGCGCAGCCCAGAAACCTGAGGCCGGACGTTTGAGTCACTTGCTCAAAACCCGGTATTAAAATGGTCGTAATCCCAGAACCATGCTTCAAGAATTAAGAAGCCGGAATTCCGCAGCTAGTTAGGGCAAGGGGATTTTTTTTGGTAACCTTTATCTACCCATGTTTTGATTGTGGCTCATTTGAGGGAACCCGAAACGGGAAGCCAAAGCGCGGGCGCGCTTTGGGTGGTGTCAAGTTCAGGGCATGAGGTTTTAACTGGGGACCAACTTTTGAAGGTTCTTCGGGTTTGGGGGTTGGGAAAGGAAGGTTAGGTTTTAGGTGGAGAGAAATCGATGAACACTCATATCCAACCACTTTTGAGTCTTTTGAGGCTTCCTGTCAGTGACTGGACGGCTCCTCGACTTGGTCTGGGGATGACAGTTTGAATGGTTGCTTGGCTGACGCTTTGTTTGCTTGCTGGATTTCTTGCTGAGCTGTCTTGTTTGTGTTGGGTATTTGAAGACTGTCCATTTGTCCAACCATCGGTTCCCGGTTTGCTCTGCTTGCCACTTTTATCCACTCTTGTGTCTCACAAATGAGGGTTTCCATTTGAGGGGTCTCCAAAAAGGCTCCTCAATTTTCTCGGGGGCAAGTCCACACCGATCATGCATCTTCAAGGTACAGCTCCAATCAGCTTGGAGGCTCATCCTGCTTCCGGCCCTGCAGAACGCCATAGATAGCGACCTCCAGCGTGTAGTCGGATCTCTCCAAAGGCGTTGGCAAAGTAAACCAGAACCTCAGCTCAAGCACTGGTAAAAAGGCGCGGAATGCTTTTGTCTCAAGGGTGCTTTGGCAAAGATGTGTTAAATCAAAATCGCCCACCGTGACTCAACGTATCCTTCGGATATGGCATGGTATTGGCATATCTACCACGCCTTCCACTGGTGGCCCGCATGCACCCCTCGACTGGGCCGGGCCTCTCAAGCAAGCCGCAAAGGGAAGGCTGTGTGCCACTGCCAGAAGCACAAGTTATGTGCCAGCCTTGTTGCCTCCAACACAAACACATCAATGCAAACAGGCGCCGAAAGGCTGGTGTACGCACAAGCTTTCAGGACGTTGACATGCGTAGCAGCTATACTCAGCACCATGATTCTGAGCAAAGCATCCATTCATACAGAACCCCAAGTACGGTCCTCCAAAGCTTTACCCTGACTTGATACGTGTACTGTCAGCAGTTTCCACTTCGATGAGTCTTCGATTGATTATCGCAATGCTGCATCCCTGATCCTTTCTGGGGTTGACCACTTCTTTTGCCGCACGAAAAGGATTTAAATGGAGCCGTTGAACAATCCTTTTTTGGGGGGGTAATTACCCCCTTGTTGGTGGCTTCTAAAGGAGAACCCACGGAAACCCGAGGCCCTTTTGGCTTTTGGTCTCCTTACAGAAACTAGGTCCTCCAGTTTTAGAGGTTAGAATAAGGGTACCAACGTTTGTTCGGTTTTGTCTATTTCAGGGGAACCCTCCCAACCCAAAAAGGGGCCAAAAGAAGGGGCACCTGGTTGGGGGACCTAGGAAAAGATACCTTCTCGTCTGCTCCGACCAGGCACTCCTCCCGCCAGCAGGGGTGTCGCGTCTTGCGCTCGGGGTGCGTGCAGCGGCGCTGCGTCCACTTTACGAAGTTCCCGTGCTGTCGGCGCAGGCCGAGCACTGCCTGGGACGCATCGCCGGTCCGGGGTCCCTCCCAGCACTCCCTTGAAGCAGGGAATGAGAATTGGACAGATCCCTACCTGGAGTCTCCATGACCCGTTAAAAATGGGTCCATGACCCCATTATTTTGGGTAATGACCCCTTTTTTTAAGGGTCATGGAGACTTCAGGTATAAACCATACCTCATTCCTTGCTGGTTCCGTAAGCAGGCAGTGAGAATTGGAATTGCCCGGAGAAAAACCATCCATGGTTTCCTTTTTCAGGGATGCTCGGCAAGAAAGCTGGTTTCTGCTGGGAAAATAGATGCGTTTCTACCTGGAAGCCACAGGAAGCCAATGTGTCCACACCCATCTTGCCAGTGGCTCGCGCCGAGTCCGGACTGGGGCAGCTACATAGGGATCCGAGTTGGCGCCTTGCGAAAAGATCTGCACCTGGAGCCGAGGGGGAAGCGATGGGAAGATCATGGCCCGTCCCTTCATGCCTAGGTTCTCCAGTAAAGAGGTTAGAATAAGGGTACCAACTTTTCTCTGTAGTCGATTTTAGTAGGGGAACCCTCCCCCAAAAAGGGTAAAAGGGCACTACTGGGGGACCTAGATGCTGTGGATGGACAAATCCCATTTCGCACCACCTGAGAAAGCCTGGAATGATGATTCCCCTGCAAATACCAGCAAATAATGATTTCAACCATGGTTTCAAAGTGGTGCGAACGGAGTTCATCCATCGACAGTAGCACCTAGTTACGCAAATTGCTATGTCTCCGGGTGCCGAATCATGCGTGGAAGGGAGGTACTGGGGAGCTTGGGAAAGCCTTCGTTGAAAGGTAGTATTTCTTTCCGCATATCCTGCATCCTGCGTGCCTGAAACGCAATTGCCAACTAATTCATGATCATGGGTGATTTGGAACGGATCCACCATGCTATTACTTGCCTGACGTTGGAAGGGGATACAACAAATAAAATTTAGCAGTTAAGTGGGGATTTCCCACCAAACCACAATAAACAAAAATGTAAAGTGTTTCCCAACAACAACCATGATTAAACCAGCTGACAACCTGTGCAAGGAGTGTCTCCTGGCCAGGGGGGGCCATTCAATGTCAGCGGTGAAAACTACCATGTTAGTCGTCCTGTCTTGCCTGCATCAAAGCACATGACATCAAGCCTAGATGTGAAGGCAAAGCATCTTGCAACGGAGTATCGCCGTTCCCGATCGCTTTGCGGTTTCATGATTGAACTAAAACAGTATCACAAAGGTGGCGCAAAGCAACTCCTCAAGACAGTAGTCCCTGTAACATCGCGGCACCTCTGCCATGGACAGGAGCCAATGGGTGAAAGGTGCAAAACTCTTTGAGGGCCCCAAGAGATCCCCAAAGGAACCCTGGCCATGGGAACTTGCACCTGGACTTGCTATTTTCATTGGATCCGCTCCGATGTCCCGCGACTCAACCCGAGGCCCGAGAAATCCGACTAAAAGAGTCGCCTGGAAGGGTCGCAGATCTCTGGCGCCAAGACAACGCACTCGAAGTCGGCCGGCGCCCCCGCCCTGAGACGGAAGCGAGCGAGAGCGAGCGAGCGAGAGACCCCCAAGCCAGGGGAAGTTTGACCAAAAAAACTGGTGGTCTCCAAAATGCGGGGGGGCATGTTTCTCTTGACCCGAAGTCAGTCGTTTTTTTTTGGAAAGCCAAAGGGAAAAGACGCAGTTCCGGGGAGGGGGGCGAAGGGGGAAGGGGGCGTGCAAAGGAAAGCCAAAAGGAAAAAACGCAGTTCTGAGGGGCTCTCTAGTTTGTCACATACCCATACCTACATCATCCTACATCCTTTGTTGTTTGATTTGCGGTTTGAAGGGCCACATGTTTTGGCTTCGGGAGATTTCCGAGGCGGAACCAACTCCTGCGGGAGCCAATTGAGCAGTACAATGATAACGTTGTCAAAATCTGACCCTCTCCAAAAAACGCTGGTTGCATAGTGGCTTCAAATTGGGCCAAAGCGGGTCCAACTCCTCTTTTCGACAAGTGCCCATCGTTGGTCAGCTTGTGCCTATCATACGTTGAGTAGACTTATTCTCAACCGATGTCATCTCGAACAACTATGTCCACAACAATTCAGGTTTCCCTTCATTGGTGGTTTGGGGATTCCTGGTTCGTTTGGAGGGTAAATGGGAAACCACCCTGAACCACCAACCCACCAATGCAACCACCAATTGGAGGGAAGCTGAACAATTGGACGCCTTCGTTGTCACGCCACATACTCCAACACTGCCAGGCTCGATTCAGCCGGTGCTCAAGGCACGGGCATCAAGCTGAACCATGTCTCTTGCGAATGAACCACGTTCATCCTATACAAGCCGTAACGCAATCTTTGACACCGGTCTACACGTGGCACACGTGTTTTTCTGTTTTTTTTAATGTTGTGTGAATTACAGCCGTCTTTGGCTCAGCTCCCCGTAGCGACATGTAAGCACATGCTGACCCCAAACACTCCACCATGCAAACTGACCCGCTGCTCGAGTCCCGTTGCGAGAGGTTGCTGTAGGCAATCATCAGAGCCACAAAAGATCGATCCTGTTTGCTGAAGGAGACATGGAAAAACATGGGCCTGGTTCCCCTCCCCTTTATGGGCGAGGACTGGCAAACTTTCTCGTTCTTCGCAAGCCAACGCTAGAGAAACAATGAGAATATTGACTGAACTGCTCATATTGCGAACCAAACAACATTTGCGGCCGAACAAGGAACACCTTTGGCTGCTTATGGAGCCTGACTTGGGGGCCAGGAATAGTTTTCTCTACCTTCCATTTGGTTAAGACCCCTGGAAAAAAACATTAGTATAGTCAGTATAGTCATAGATTCCCTTTAAAACCAACCGGGGGAAAATAAAAACATATTCTTAAGCAAATGGAAGCTACATGGGACCTTTGGTGAATTCCATGTTGGGAGGGTAACCATCCAAGCCTCACCAGGTGCCCCCCGGCCGGACCTTCCGTCTGGGGCTGTCAGCGGCCAGCAGGGACTCTCTCAGATTGGCCCGGCGCGTGGCATCCATCGGTGAGGCCAACATGTCAGATCTGAGGGTTGCCCGAACTGTCCGGAGCCCATTCTTTGTCGCTGAATTCTTGTCTCCCTCATGTCTGCCCACGGCTTGCATGGCGAGACATTTCGTGAAGCGGATGCTTCTCCGATCCACTTGCCGTGACTTTGAGAGGAGATCGCGTGCTCAACTCTCCGGGCCGATTCGGACGAGTCAACGGGCCTTCGGAGTTGGATCAAAGCTTCACAGGTCCGAACGCCAGCTTTCCGGCCACGCCTTTTTGGAGCCGAGATGCCGGGGCGTGAATTTCGGGATGGGCGAAATCCAGCATCACCTAAGGTTCCCTGGATGGAGGATTCCCCTGGCAAATGCCAACAAACAATGGGTTCCGATTGTTTCAACCTGGTGCAGGGTTTTGTCCATTCACAGTATCATTCGCCCGACATAGAACATATATTTGTTGTTACCTGTCGTGATGTCGAACTGGCAGGACAACATACAAACACATCCTAAGCAAATCGAATTGGTGAAGAATGAGGGAGGGCAGTTTGGGACTCTGCTCGCTTGCAGTGCCTAAGAAAGAGGTCTCTCAAGGGGTCGCCATTTTGAGATGGTTTCATCAAAACGCCAGTTGAAAGGCCGTAAGGCATCCCTTCTTGACCACAAGCAAACAATGTTCATATTGCAACAAGCTGGCATGTTCAAGCTGCAGAATAGCATGGTGCAACACGTGCGAGCATTGCACCTTGAGCTAAACAAACAACCAGTCAACAAAAAAGAAAACAGAACTCCTGAATCAATTGCTGACTTGTCCAAAGATGGCCTTAACAATCAAATTGCAGACCGATTCATGGCTCCCGAGTAGCCCAGTGACCCGAATTGCATCTTGAAGCAGGGGTTATACTCACACGTCTTGCAACAAATCAACAGCCTCTTGGAGAAGAAACATCAAGATTGCCCAACGGCCATGGGTGGAAAGGCAAAGGCTCTCCCTTCTTGCCGACTTTCAGAAGTCTGGCACTGGCAAAACTCTCCCTAAAACTCGCCCGCGCACCTGTGAAAGCCAGAACCAATCCCGGACAGCGATGTGCAACACTGTTGACGGAACGTGTAGGGTCAAAGCAGCCCCTCTCATCCGCTTGTCGTGAACAAAGCATATCGAATGAGACATGGCAGAAAAGACTTGTTTCATGTCTCTTGCATGTCCGAATCCCTTTCAAGAACTTGACCAACCTTGGCGTTGTGGGGTGCAGAGAACCCCTATCGCCAGGCCGGTCGCTTTTTTCCTTCTGCACCCTCGCTCACTTTTTCAACGACCTCCTTTCAGCCTGCCGATGGGTAGGAGTTGACCAATTGCGTCTTTGGGGGCAAACCACCGGAAGTCAACAAAGAAAGAGGTCCCCTGTGGTGTGTCTATCTAGACATCCTGCCATACATCTAATAGGAAAGTCGGCGGAATAGCCTCAACACAGTGAACGGGAAAAGAGCCGCAGCTTACATATCGTAAGTAATCACAAAACGGCAGAATGCTCTGGCACCAAACCCAACCCGGTGGGGGGTAAAACCACCAGCAAAGAAATGCGCGGTGCATCATGGATCAGCAACAGCCAGTGCATCACTGATGTGAATGTCAGATGCCCCTTTACCCGTAGTGAAGCCGCAATACTTACAGAGATTCGTGGCAAAGGCGTTGCAGCGGCATTTGAAGGGCATGATACTGTGGATGGACGAAACCCTGCACCACTTTGAAACCATAGGAAGCCATTGTTGGTTGGTATCTACAACGGAATCATGATTCCCAGGTTTCTCAGGTGGTGCAGGATTTCGTCCATCCACAGTAGGGCATAGCATCTTCTCCAACGCACCCAGGCGTGAAAGAATGACTTAGACAACTGCTTCTTCAGCAGGGTGCCACAACTGTGCGCAGCAAACGGAAACGGCGCACCCAGCAGCTGCTTAGCCCTCTAAAATGCATGCAGCACGCTTAAAGCTGCTCTGCCACCCAAAGAAACAATAATGTGTGTTGAAGTAGGCGCAATAATACATGTCTGCATGTCTGTGCAAGTACACATGCACCTGCAGATAAAAGACATGCCCAAACAAACGCAAGCAGGCGGTGCAACCAGAAATCCAAACAATGTTTCCGCCTTGGGGGCCGGAAAAACATTGCAATCATGGGCAAATGTCTTCTTCGTACCTGTAGGGGCAAGTTCCTTCAGAAGTGCTGGCTTTTTACCCGGTTTTGAGCGCGGCCGATGTAAAATTGCTAGCCTGTGACCTGTCGCTTGTAACATATCAAAACCATTCTGACAGACTGACAGATCACTTCAAAGAGCGACAGTCTCGAGCTGCATTTGCTGATGCAGTTTCCGTCGCTGAGGTTTGTGGCATGTGAAACATGGCGGCACTGCCTCAAAAGTTTAATAGGCAGGCAGAAGCAGCTCTCAAATTGTGAGGCAGAAACCTCGAATGCCAGGCAAAGCTGCAAGGGCACAATTTGTGTTCCCAACCGCAAACACGCCGAGCCCAGCGCTCCGGAAAAAGCGACTCTACCATTTGTTTCAGACAAAAACATTTCTGGGAAGTTGAGGCTGCCATTTGCATGACGAGTTGCAAGTTTAACTCCAGCCAACATGTCCAAACAACGGCGGTTTGTCCCAAAACTGCGAATTACTACACCTGAACATGCCCTCAATGAAGTTCATATGTAAGTGGATCCGCTGCGGATCCCAACCTGTAACAGGGCGGGCCAGCCACAGTGCCAGCCCAAAACATTGTTCAACAACTCAGCACATCCTGACGCGAGTTTCCCTTTCAAAGGGGCCTGTGGCGAAAGTGAAACCAAACTTGCTCGCGACGATGAACTGTGAGGTCGAGTGCCTGAATACCCGAAGTTGCCTAGCCCAATTGAGCAACCACGGCAAAAAACAAACAGGAAAGCAAGCAAGCAAACCAAACAAACAAGCAAAACAAACAAACAAGCAAGCAAACAAACAAACAAACAAACAATCAAACAAGCAAGCAAGCAAACAAGCAATCAAACAAACAAAACAAAGAACTCAACAATGCTACAAACAAACAACCCAACAAGCAAGCAAACCAAAAACAACAAGCAAACAAACAAACAAACAAACAAACAAACAAAACAAACAAACAACCAAACAAACAACCAACCAAACAACCAACCAAACAAACCGAGCAAACAACCAAACCAAACAAACAGTGCAAACAACACAAACAAATTGGACATAACACCGCAAGGCGATACAGCTAAGTCCTCAAGCGCCGCCGGGCGAAAGCTGCCTACACGCGCGCTTCACCAGCCACGGCTTTTACCTTGCCGACAGCAAACGGGCGGTGCGAGGTCCAAAGCGCAAAGCCATTCTCATCAGAAGGTCACCGAAAGACAGACGCCCTTAAAGAGTGAATCAAAGCAAACGCGCGCAAGAAAACCAAAAGGAACCCTTAGGACGGGCCCCCATATCTCCAACCTTCCATGAGTACCCAACCACGGGCCCCCACCCCGCACGGGTTCTCTATCATGCTGGCCAAAAGATGCTTAGAACAACCACAGAGAGAAATTCTGAAACCGCAGCAAGGGGAGCGTGGCCAAGCTTCATACCACTTCCTCTAGGCAAACCAAAGCCTTTCAAAACTCCCTTTTCTCCGCTTCGCGCGAACATCGACGGCCAGGCCTGTGGGCGGGACTGTGCGTGTGTTTGTGTGTGACAGGGGTACAACATCCACTGACGGGTGGTGACAAACGAAAATCATGCGCCTTCAGGACAGGGACTACGATACATGGTGCATTCCTCGGAGGATGCAACTCTTCGGCAAGCACTACCCGGAACATCGGCCGCACTGTTGGGCTGCCCGTTGCGTCCCGTTGCGACTCGAAAACCGAAGCAAGTCGCGAGATACGTAGCCGGTTCAAGCAAGTGACAGCTGCGCGATGAAAATACAACTTGCGTAAGGCGACTCATTAAAATCTCCATCCACCGAAAAAGTCCGAACGCAGTCCTCCACTTCCTACCGTTGTATACATCGAAAGCTGTTAGTCCTGGGCTCATAAACGTCATCACTGTGCGCTAATGCCTCGGGCGCTACTCTGACCCACTTCCTGCGTGATGTCACCCTGAAACACCTGCGCCGTCAACCCTGCCAACGGCTGGATCGTCACGTTTTGGGCGATGTCCCCGTGAATGACGTAGGCCGGGCTCTTGCCGGGCCACCCAAAACCTTGACCTGAAAGCCACACGCACAGCCGCAGTCGCTCCAGGTCGTCTCTCACCTCTGCTCAAAACTCCTAAGTTCTCATATGTTCGACGACTCCGGTAAGCCGCAGGCGCACCAACTTTTCGCTTTAGAGAGCTTCGTGCATGACAGGGCAGGGTGCCAAACTGCACCAAAAAAGTAAGCCAACGGTTCGCTGCAGGGAGCCGTGTGCATTACAGGGTGCCACACTGCACCACAAAACAAATCTGACCGCAGCCACTAGCGGCTGCATTCCCCACGCTCATAGGGCGTGTGCATCATCAGCCTGGACATCCATGCAGATCTTGAAACATCAGGGCTGGTCCAGAACCCCTCTGATCCTCAAGAAGATGAGTGCGGGGCAAGCAGCGTTCAATGATCCGGATAGAGAGCCATACTCATTCCAGACATCAGAAAGTCTTAAAATGTGCGGGCCTCACATGCAGTGTAAAGCACTTGGGTTGGCATAACATAAATGAACTGGCGGCGGCGACAAGAGGGCCGAAATCACACACACCAGCATTGGCTCCACCAAACGCGTCATGCTTGTTGAAAATGGAGCTCACGCCGCCGGTTGCATGGCCTCTCTGCTGCAGCTATCAGGCACTAAGCGTGCTTGACGTCAACGCTTGCCAGGAACACAACGTCAGCGCAACAAATGCTAGCCACGTTTGGCGCAGCTGGAGGCAAGCATGCCCGTTCATGTTGCTCTTGCTGGCAGTCTCCCATCTGCGATACGGCAAGCACAAAATGCCGGCGGC